TAATTCCCTTTGTTTTTGGGGGGAGGTTCGGGGAAAAAGGAGGGGGTGGAAACGCGTTTTGGAGCCCTTGATGGGAAGGCAAACCCCAAGAAAAAGGTTGACCCATTTGGGGTAGCAGGAAAAAAAATGGTTTTTTTTTTTTTCCCGGGGAAATTTAAAATAAGTGGGGCCGGGAATTTGTTGCTTTTGTTGGAAAAATTGTCCCTTTTCCGGTAACCTTTTAAATAACCGGGACTTTTTTTCCGCACCGGGGTACACCCGGGGTAATTTTGGTTTTTGTTTCCCCCTCAAAAAATAAATTAAAAATGTGCCCATTGCGGAAGGGAGGGGCAGGGAGGGTACCCCGGGCATGGAGTCCAAGGGGGGGGCTTGTTGGGTGGCCAGGTGTTTTTCATGATCCATCCTTTGAATAACCCCCTTTCGCTTTCCCTTTTTTGGCTCCGGCCGTCCCTTGTTAAACTCAAGATTTCGGATCCAGGGCCACTCACGCCCCCCCCCCCCCCGCAGTGCATGCCTGCATTATAACAATAACGGCTCATTTTTTCCCCCACACCCCAAAATACATGGTAGTTGTTTGTGAATGTACCCGACCGAACCCCCGTATCCCCAATATGACAGCCCAGGTTGGGCTACAAAAAGGTCTATTCAGATGGTTCTGAGTCAGTCTTTTGGCCCCGACTGATGATTGATTGCCATTTGGACCCTATTCTCACCCCTGTGGTCCACATTAGGCCATGTCTGTGCGTAGCAACCAGATATTCGGGTGGGGTAGGGAACGCAGCCCCTGGTTGCCGTCCTATGTTATTTAACAAATGTGTGTAGCTTCCATGGCAGTAGCCTTTTACTTCCATGGAAGCAAGTAGTGTAGACTTCCTCCATGGAAGTGTGTGATTTACCTTCCATGGAAGCTCGCAAACAACTTCCATGGCAGTGCGGACGAGTTCCGTGGAAGTTTATGTATCGGGGGGTTCCCGATCAACTTCCATGGAAGCTTCAACTTCCATGGAAGTTTTGTGGAAGTCAGCTAGCTCCTATCGGAGTCGCTTGGTGCGCTTCCCGGAAGTCGATCACACCACACCACTTCCAGGACGTCGATGGAAGAAGTAGGCCATATTCGGCCCAGCCTCCATGGAAGCATAATATTTTACTTCCATGGAAGCATCAGCACCCTACTTCTATGGAAGTATACCCCCTGACCCCAGCTGCAAACTATACGCGACTTCCATGGAACCATTATAGTCTCGATCCTGCGGCAGCGAAGACCAGTAGTGGGGAAGTGCTTTCCCAGCTGATCAGCCCCTGGAGCTTGCCACGTGCGTGGACATTCCAGTCTGCTGGGTTGTTTGGGTTCGGGTTAGGGTTTGTTATAGGGTCAATTCGAGGTACCTTCTTTCCCAGTTGGTTTAGGTGGACTGGATGTGTGGTGTGGTCCACGCTTGGTTGGTCGCTGGTGCTCTGTTTATCAGGACGGGAGTTGGTGTTTAGATCGTCTGCCCGTGACGTCATCTTCAAACATTTTTATGGAAGTGCTTGGACTGGCTTGTATGGAAGTTGCCGAGTTTCCTTAGAAGTTGCCAAGGAATCGAGACGAACGCTTCCGTGGAATTTGCTTCCATGGAAGTTGCTTGTCTTTCATGGAAGTTAGCTGTCCAGTCGATACAACGCTTCTTCCATAGAAGTTACTGTCGTGGGAGTAATTGTGCTTCCGTGAAGGTACCTTCCAGCTTTGTGGAGGGGATCGATGGACGGACTTCCATGAAAGTCTTACTTCGATGGAAGCTCTTCGCACTTCCGTGGAAGTTGAAGACGAGAGTTTCATGGAAGCAACAACCCACTGCATCCATGGAAACCGATCGACTTCCATGGAAGTTACATCTACTTCCATGGAAGCCGCATGGAAGTTGTGGCGCGAATCTGCCACGCAACTTCCATACGGCTTCCATGGAAGTTAGGTGGCTCCCATGGGAGGAAGTACATTGAGCTTCCATGGAAGCGTGGCCAGCTTCCGTGGGCTTCCATGGAAACTGTCAACGATTTCCACGGATGTCAATATCGACTACCTGGAAGCGTGCACCATACGTTAAATAATGTAGGTTTCCTTCCTGATGCTGCCAGGTGTTGTGTGTATCAACAGAAACGCGAAGAAGGTACTGTCCGCGAGGAACATTTCGGAACCATGCGTGTATGCTCCAACGCGGACGCCCTTGACCGTGTTCCCAACCGCGAGGGTCTGGAAGCACGTCGTGTGCACACGAAATCTTTAACACCAGAGTGACTTCAACCAACAACCGTGGGTGCCCCGTACCAATGCAATCGTGTCGTCGCAGTTGCGGACAGTGCGGTGGTCCGGGCTGCTCCACGTTTGGCAAGGACCTCGGGTTGGGGGCCGAGGACTGCTGCGAGGGTACCATCCTCGAGCTCGGGGAGGTGTGCGGCATAGCCCCTTGCACGACGAACGCCGGTGCGTATGCGTATGCGTCGTAGTGAAAGTTGGATGAACCCTGGCTAAGCATGGGACCCAGTCACTGTTGGTGCCGCATAGGACCGCCGGTCGTCATGCACCTATAGACTGTTTGCCCCTTTTGTCCTTCGTGCGATGTGCTGTTGGTGGTGTTGATGCTCTCCTCCTAACACAATCGTTCCGGTAGCTACAGTAGTTTGTGCAGCCTTTTTCGTCCCCAATCTCTACGGCACGAGAAGAGCGAGGTTTCGGTGGACAAAAGCCACAGCCCAAACGAAGCTTCTCGAAAGAATTGAAACAACCTCCTCATCTGTTAGTCGCTCTGTATATCGCAAATACTGATCGACTGGTTCTTGTTTTGGCCCACGTTTTCCCTTGTTTTCCTCTCGCTGTTTTGACATCATGGTAACGATTTCGTTTTCCCTCCACCAGCTGTTGAGAAGCACGATGGTACCACCCCGTCCCCCGTGACGCCTTCCAAGCCCACGTCGGAGCCCACTTCGAAACCCACTCCTGTACCCGAGGCTAGGACGACCCCGCCCCCTGTGACGGAGCCTACCGTGGAACCTACCTCGAAACCCACCCCTGTACCCGAGGATAGGACGACCCCCTCCCCTGTGACGGAGCCTACCGCAGAACCTACCTCGACACTCACTCCTGTACCCGAGGATAGGACGACCCCTTCCCCTGTGACGGAGCCTACCGCGGAACCTACTTCGAAGCCCACTCCTGCACCCGAGACTAGGACGACCCCGTCCCCCGTAACGGAGCCTACCACGGAACCTACCTCGAAACCCCCCCCTGTACCCGAGGCTAAGACGACCCCCTCCCCCGTGACGGAGCCTACCGCGGAACCTACCTCGAAACCCACCCCTGGACCCGAGGCCGGGCCCGCGACCGCTCCGAGTGGAGGCGGGGGCGATGACCCTGGGGAGTATCAGGAGCTTCTCGAACGCCACAACCAGATCAGGCGAGAGAGAGTGGGGAAGGTGTGGAGACACACGGCACGAAATGTACGCAGCGGTGTGTTCCAGGAAGGCGGAAAAAGCCAATGTACGCCACATATTCCGGGAAGTTGTTCAGGTTGCCAATCTCTTTGCTCGCAGGTACAATTTTTTGCGGATGGATGCGTGCAGATGTCGAAAGGCTTCGCTTCCGTACGGCCCCGAAGACCTGTGATTGTTGTTCGTTTATCGTGCTCCCGCCGGTCGATGTCTTGAACGAGCTGAGGGCGAATGGGGAGCGAGTGTAGTTGACATTTTTTTAGGAGAGGTTTTCAGCTAGGCGGGGGGGCCTTCGACATTGGAAGTGTGGAGGGCTGTCGTGTTGGTTTCCTGCGAGAGAATGGCCGACATGTTATCGAGGGTGCATAGCCGTTCGTGAAGTCTCGTCTTCCAGCGAACTCTGGTGAAAGAAAGTGTACCATCCTGCATGACGAGTCTCGCGTCTTGCTCTGATATTGTCGAAGAAAAGCATTAACGCCCTCGGTGGCGCGTTTTCATGCACCTGTTATGATTGGCGATATGAAAACGGGTTGCGACAGGTGCATGCACGGCGCCGACCCCCTGGTCTGGAGTGACGAAGTAGCTTCCTTCGCGAGGGTGAGTGAGTCTGGAGGGCTGAACATGTCGTGGGCACTTGATTGCAAGAGTTGTTACCGCAACTTTCATGCTGGATAACGGTGTGGATATCAACGGCGAGGCCCGCAGAATCTCGGAAATTCGCCGTTGACGAAATCGAAACTCTGAGTAAGTCGGCACGAAGTTTTGGAACATGTTTTCCCACGAGCATTGCAAATATTTTTATTACTTGAAGTAACAAAATTTCTCGGACTGGTTTCGAGCCACCCGGCATCAAGAACGAAGGTATTCATTCGTGTTTGTACCTCCCGCGCCCCTGTCGCCTCGACCCCTCCAGCCAGGCTCAAGTTCACGATTTTTTTGCGTCGACTACGCCGAGGTTTCGTTTCTCGTTGTGTCCAGCTAATGCCCCCCCCCCCCCCGGGGGGGATACTGTGAATTGCAGGACTACGCCCAAAAAATGACCTCTGCCACTAACTGCGGCACAATGGGGCACAGCACCTCAAGTTACGGAGAGAACCTTTACCTGTGCTGGACAACCGCCGGCGACGGCTGCTACACAGGCTACGAACGCCGCCGTTCGCTGGTGTGAGTGCTCGGCGCTTCGTTGTGTTTCGTTCGCTCTTTGTGGCATAGCTTGTGCAATCTGTTCTACCGTCGTTCGCGATTGCCACACCCAAGTCTTCCGATCACCCGGGCGTCCCTCCCACCAAGTAGATTATGTCCTCTAGGTGGTTTCTAAGAAACGTTGGGGCGGCACGGGCAGCATTCAGCACATCGTTTGTCCATTTTTGTACTACGATTCATTGCGCCCCGACAAATATATATTGTCTTATCGTGTCTTCCGCCGGCGTTGGGTATAACCCGAGTTTCTGGTCGAGCACGTACCCGCTCTATCGGAGCCCTCGACTGCTTCACGTGGTTGTTACGTTTCCTCCCTCGCAGTGGTGGTTCTCTCTATTTCCTCAATATCACTGACTTCCCGCCCCTCCACACTGGTGCGGTTGGACATGTGTGTCTGTCTATCATAACCTATTGTCATCGTTTCCTTTAGTGAATTTTCGACGAAGTTATCTGACCTTGGGCCAGTTTCCCGCAGTGTGTAGCCGCACTATCCGGCAGTCTATGAATTCACGCGTATCTTCAGACGGCGACGAGCGCAAATGGGTTCCCTAACCCGCGCTCTGCTGCCGCCATCAATGAATACGTGTTGTCTGCCGAACGGACGAATGAATGCCCAGACGACGATGAAGTCACACAGGGAGACCGGACCACCTACGAGGGGCACGCGACCGCCATGCTGTGGACCGAAACCACTCAGCTCGGCTGCGCCGTGGCTTCGTGCCATAAGAGCGGCTGGTCTTACGAATTCCTCACCTGCAACTACAACCCACCGTGAGTCCTTAATTCACATTGTCTTGTTACGGTCTCCAGAGCACGCCTTCCAGAAAGCACACGTCTGCGCCCTCGGTCGTATTGATCACACATGAGAGTAATAACCTCTCGCTCTAGCCTCCCTGCGGGCGAGTGTATTTACACAGCTGCGCCTCCTCACGTATTGTCAATGCCACCACCCCGCTTCTCTTTTCATCAACTTTCGAGGGATTAGTGTGTGCTGATTACTCACGCTGCAGACACGAACCTTTCATGGTGCTGAAACGCTTTTCGCGTTTCGCAGCACGCGTTGCTGGCTTCTCGTATGATTCACAGACAGCCGTACTCGAAAAATGGACAAACACAATGCGGTCCATCAACTTACGGCTTCAGACAGTCGTAGAAACAGAATCCGATATATTATGCAATGATGCGTAGTAGTTATCGGTGCACCTATGTTCTCTGTCCATCTTGATCTCTAACCACGACTGCTCCAAGCGTGCGGCACACTTAGTGAGCCGTCCAAGAAAACGTTGGCGCTTATGCCGCAATATCCCGTAGCTCAGTATGGCCACACATAGACTATACGACGTGTTTTGAGTTTGTCGCTGTGAAACGGAAGCAGAGGAGTTCATGTCTGTCCTGCTTCACGTGCACTCCGTCGTTTTATGGATGTAGTTGCCCCCCTCCCATCTTGATAATACCGACCCCCATCTCTCCGTCTCGTTGCATTTTCTTGCTGCAGTTCCGTGTACGGTGAGACGGAGAAAGTCACAAAACCCACGTATGACTGACTACCTGTGCCTGCCTACAAACAAAACTGGTGATCGTTCGACCTGAACATACGTATGTGCAATAGTTTCCGTACATTCGCCAATCCTGCCACCCATCAGGGCAAACGAAAGAAATGCAACTCTCACCAACCCTTGTCCTATACATGTAGCAAATCCGTTCTGTCGCGTTTCATTTGATTTTTCGATATTTCCTTGCAGGGGCAACTGGGAGGGCCAAACAACGACGTACGTGTTGCCTCCATCCAAAACCGAAAGTGAATGCAATTACGACGGCACCCGCGCTGAAGAGTGAAATCCTGCTTTATTATGTGGTTCTCCATGTACCTTGGCTACAGCGGCGGTAGAAATCGGCCGCGGCAGAAATTGGCGTTGACCGCCGGCTAGTGTATGAAGGAGTTGCCGTGGACATTTGTATGTTTAGCACGGATTGTGCCTTTCCTGCAGGAGCTGCTGGATGGTGCTGGATATCGCAGTGACCTTGTTGGATTCCACGCCACCCCGGCGAGGGCTATCGTTTCGTTTGGAGTTTGTTCTGGGTTACCCGGGGTCGAGATAAACGAAGTCGCTGGCGATTTCCAAGCAGAAGCCCCCCCGACGTAGACGCGAGCGCGTGCCACCGCCCACTGCTGTAGCGCACTTGAGGGGCCGAATGCTGCGAACAACGTTCTGACGATGAGTTGTGACGCCACAAGCCACAAAAGTAGGAGGATGGGACGAGATTTGTGTAACCCTTGTTGCTGGGTAGAACGCAGCGTAGCAGACTAGAATACAGGTTCCTCTGGATCAAACGTCTAGGTATAAGAAGTGATGGTGAAATAATGAGTTTTGTGGATTGGTGTGGTGTGGTAAAATATGTGTAGATGTTGCCTCCGGTGAGTGTTTCATTTCTCTCGTTTGAAGTTTGAAAAGCGGGAGGAGGTTTGAACTTATGTGATCAGCGATTCTCTCGTTTGAAGTATGAAAAGCGGGAGGAGGTTTGAACTAATGTGACAAGCGATCTCTTGTACGATGATCGTTGTGCGTCCGGGCTTGACATGTGATGTTGTTGTTGTTGCTGTTATCTTCAGATGAAAAACCGTTCCGATCCCTCTACAGTACCTCGTACCTCATTTGCCCGCAGATCAAACAGTGTGTGCGAAGCAAAAAAGATCGTTATGTGCTGAAGATTTGCACTACAGCAGTGCCGTTTCGACTGAGCAGACATGCATGTACCACGCAAGGGTGGCATGAAGCGGTCGAGGCAAGGCCTCGCACAGTCAGTCGCAGCGATTCCAACGAAACATAGTTTTATTGAAGCAAAAACCACGACACGGAAAAAAGCAGGACGCCCCCAGGAATGAACGCGAGTGAAATGCGAGGTTCTCTGAAAAGACAACACAGTACATTCCCCTGCTGTTCTACGGCACCAATCTACTACGCAAGCCCTTCTCATATATTCCTTCGTCCCGTGGCCTATAGACGCTATGCACCGTTGGATACGGGGTGGGGATCAGCGCCTCCTACGATCCTGGCAAAGAGCGTTCCTGACATGAAACATTTCCCGAAATATACAAGTTGTGAAATTGCCCAAACAAGCAACAGTCCAGATAGTCAACTTCTTCGACGCCCTCTCGCTTTGGTGGTGCTGCTGCTGTTACTGCCTTCTACGCCAGTGCGTCAAGGTCGGGAGAATCAAGTCGACATTGCTCGTATTTACTTAGTTATTTCTCCCCCGAGGCTTGGTTGGCTAACGCCTCAACCTGTCTTCTCGATATAGCTCCGGTTTCACAAGACCAAAAATTCGAGCTGCCCCCGCGGCGCCCGGCGACGCCACCGGTGATTGATATCAATGCCTCCCCGCCGTTGCATCGGCCGCTACTCTTGTCGGCGACGACATCAGGCGGTTGTTCGTCATGCTGTTTGGCTGTTTCGGCAATCACCATCTCTACTAATTACTCCTCCGTTTTTTTGTCGGCGACGACAGCGGGCGGTTGTTTGTCATCCTGTGGTTGTTCCGGCAACCTCCGTTTCGGGTCTACGGCGAGGCCGTGGCCGCCTTCCGGGCGGTCAAGCACTTCCTCCGTCTTTTCATCGGCGGTGGTACCGATATCGATGGCCACCGCATCCTCCACTGTCCCCTGCACATTGGACCGTCGTTGCGCGAAAATAGAAAAGGACCAGTGTCAATGTGCATACATAGGACTGTTAGACACAATAGCAGTGTGAGAGGTGGCGAAGAAATTGAAGCTGGCGGAAAGATGGAAGCCAAACGCACACGATTATCTCGCCACATCGACCAGATTCTCTGCCGCTCGCCACGGATGCCCACGCAGACATGCCCCTGTGCACCATCAATGAAGCAAAGCTCGACTTCACTCGCGCTGTCAACAAGTGACGAATGTCCGGGGCCTATGGGCACCACTCCACCTCACTTCGGTGGCAGACGCGTCGATGGACACGGATGAAATGTGATGCGGAAGACTATGCGTAGCAAGACTTTAAACGAGGAAAAGTAGGCTCCGTGATGGTAGAGAAAAGAAACACAAAAATCATGTGCCCCCCACGCGTCTCCGAGTTGTTGGCCTAGCCTGCCGCCGGCAAGCGACACCTCACTCGGAAAGGAATGAAATAATGCCGCTTGTCGACATGGCGCGCGTTTATGGAGATGTTGGGCCCTTGGCCGATGCTGTAGAAAATACGTCGGCCTCGATCGATAGAATGAATCCACTTCCGCCGGAAGTCATTGAGAGACGTGAAAGAACAGAAAATGGTACGAGATTCCCTCTGGAAATACTTGGATCACGATCTGAGATCAACACGTAGGTAGCATATGGCCATATGGCCGGGGTGAGTACAATCATATTGAGAAACGCTAGGGTGAAACAAAACGCACATACAACAATGGAGGACGACTCAGGGTCGCAATCGGTTGCACGCATTGGGATCTAGAAGAGTGAAGCTCCAAATTGAGCGACGCGTCTATAACCCTCACGTGAGTGAAACCACAAGAAACACTGTTTCGGGTGCGAACCAATGAACAACCATATTTTCAAGCGAAGCGTATCATTGCCCATGTATAAAACGCTCTGCATACCTCTGCATACGTAGATCTCTGCGCGGCAGTGAAACACATAAATCAATTGGAGCGCAGCAATGAGCGCCTGGGCACGAAGGAGTGAAACCAATCAAGCACACGGCCCTAACGATGTGAAAACCTTCGGGGTATTCATGAGCTTCATTGAAAATAAGGGCAAGGATAACTGCGCTCCTTCAGGTAGACCTCACGCAACGGCTATCACATAGCTCAAACAGCACAGTCCGACGGAACACAGGCGAACTGCATGGTTGGACAGAGAGAAACCGAACGACGTGTGAAACTTTCCCATGGGCTGTACAATATGCTGACGAGAAAAATAAACAAACCGGTGAGACCCTGGGTGAAAAACGGTGATGTTTTTCGGCATTCGCAACAACAGTGGATCGATGATTCCCATGTACACAGCACTTTCGACTGTGCAAAGGCTGGCCAAAACCCGTCTGCCTGCCTCCCAAAATTTCACGTGGCCAATCACTGCAGTTTCGCGCGTGACACAGGATGCGATAACGACGACGAGTCAATGCGGTCTTGGCAAAAGCTCAAAAGCACCGGTGAAAGAGGCTGCCCGCCGGCGAGGGCAATGTTGTCAGCCGCGACGACCGCATATTCCGTTCTTTCTCAATCACCGCTGATTCTTCACAAGCGGCGTGCATGAATGGTGCCGGCGAATGGGGCATTACTGTAAGCTTTGGCCACTTCCATTCTTTCTCAGCCACCGCGAGGCTGTGCATGTCTTGAGCCGGCGAGGGCATTGTCGCAAGCTCTACGCTCTTCCGGTCTTGCCCCACTCACCGTCTTCTCTTCGCCGCCGCCGCCGCCACTGGCATTTCCACCAGCAACAACGTTGGTAGCGTTGGTCGAGGGCGTGACGATGCGACGAGACCTGAGAACGGGGGGAGTGACGTGGCACGGAGGTTTCCGTCATCGAACGAATGAACAGACGGTATGTCTGTGCGAGTGCAAGCGTGGCTAGCGTTAGAAGCAATATCACCTACTGCAGTCCGGTGTGAATGAATAACCCTGGGAGGAAACAAAGGCCCACAGAGACGCGCACCAAAAACAATGTTGCAGGCGCACATGCGTGCGCACGTGGGCGAGAGAGAGGGGCGGGAGGGGCAGGGAGAGAGAGAGCGAGAGTGAGAGAGAGAGAGAGAGAGAGAGAGAGAGAGAGAGAGAGAGAGAGAGAGAGAGAGAGAGAGAGAGAGAGAGAGAGAGAGAGAGAGAGAGAGAGAGAGAGAGAGAGAGAGAGAGAGAGAGAGAGAGAGAGAGGGAGAGAGAGAGAGAGAGGGAGAGAGAGAGAGGGAGAGGGGGAGAGGGGGAGAGGGAAAGACAGAGACAGAGACAGAGACAGAGACAGAGACAGAGACAGAGACAGAGACAGAGACAGAGACAGAGACAGAGACAAAGACAGAGAGACAGGAAGAGAAACAAAGAGAGAGACAGAGAGAGACAGAGACGGGACGACCCTGATTTTCTGTCTCAACCGCGAAAACAAGCAAGAAGAAAACACAAATCACGCGACTTACGGGCTCTGCGTCTGCTTACGACGACGGACGATGTTGAAGATGATGACCGCGCCTGCTACGACCGCCACAAATATTCCGGTCGATATGAACAGCCCGGTGACCACGCCGGAATCGTCGCCTGGACATACACGGCATTTAGGATTTAAAGGCAAACACAAAAATAAGGCTGCGGTGGGGCGCCTGTTACAGACGATCGGAAACAAGCAGATAGAAGAAACACGGCCATTGCTGTGCCCAAAGTAGAACGCACGGGCGCCTGGGTCCGTAGTTTTCGGTACGCTTCACGCGGAGCATGACAGCGACTCGCTTGGCCTGCAAACACAAATCGACGTGAACGGGTTTTCTAGCTCACGCAAAAAGCTTCCGAAGGTGGGGATTTTGAGCCCCTTAACGGGCAGGAATGACGAAGGAAATCCAGCAAAATATGGCGGGTATGCCTTCTTGAGCAGGTGTGGCTGAGGCACCTGTCCTAGGCTCCTAATGACACAAGCGTATGACTACGCCGAGCGCAAGGGGCGGGGAAACATGAAAACAATAGCACAAGCGACCATGGAGGAGTGGAAACTGCGACCACGTGCACGTTTCGCTTCTGATTTCCATGCCGCAGCTGCCGCGCAAAGAAAAAAGCAAAAAGGGTATGGGGTCACGGCCTGACTGTCCGCGTCTGCCTACAACTCGACAGGGTCTCAACAACGCTACTTCATCGGTTTGTACACAAGGCGGGGTCACCGTCCAATTCCGGAGGTTGATTCTTGCGGTAAACCCGGCCGGTCAATACGGAAGAGAAACCATGGCGGCAGACACGGGAGGCGATTCGTGCGAAGGCCGCTTCGTGGCCATCCCAAAATAACGGTCAAGGTTAGATTGAATAGAAGAGAACCAAGCTGTCTCTCCCCATACCTTGTGAACTGCACAAATACCTCTTCATGGTCCACAAAATGGGAACACTCTCTTTCTCGCTCTCTGTCTCTCTTCTCTCTCTCTCTAGTCTATCAGCGCGAACCGGCAGCCCTTCTACGTGTACTGGTGCACCCATGGAACCATTGGTCCAACGTGCGCATCTGCTAACACTTTGCTTCTGCATTTTGGCCGAACGATGAGTCAGTCTCTATCTCACTTTCCACGGTATCTTGACCCAAAACGCTTCCTCCGCTCGACGTGAGGCCTCCTCGGCTGGACGATGACGCTCCCACCGTCGACGCGAGCCATCCGAGAGGGTCATCGACACCGGGGCTGGAGGATGAAGACCCTCCTGCGGGTTTTCACAATTAAAAAAAAAAAAACGTCCGGAAAAATAAAAAAAAAAAACAGAAAATGATTGGAGTGTTATCTCGAACTGGTAGTCTGATGGTGTGGATATTCTTGTCAACAAACACGTTGCTTTGAAGGCACAAAAACAACCGTTTGGGGGCTCTAAAGCCCGGCTGCTGGAGGCTATTCGACCGTCTGTCCGACACGAACTAAAAAATGATGCACACGACGCTACAAAGATGCGTTTCGTACGTGTGTATCTTCCGTGTCGGAGCCCATAGAGATGTTCCTCCGCTTGAGGACAACTAACGACTACTGAAATATATCACAGAACAACCCCACGAAACCTCTACGCACCACAAAATAACCAAGACCCCTAGCACGCAAACAATCGTCGATAAAACGTTCTCAAGGCCGCGTGGACAAGCCAGCAAACTAATCAACAAGTCGAACATGTATCTTCCCCGCGCCGAAGAGCGATGCCGTACGGGACGGCAGCAGCCGCCGTGAATGCACAACACACAGGCGGCGACGACGTGATGCACTGCAGGTAGCGCCCGCGCTTGAGAAGTTGACCGTTGATGAAGAAAATGTATATAGCCTCGAAACACTCCAAAATCTGACAATTAGCGTGAGCTCGGTCAAGAAATCCTACACTAAAACCTATATAGTGGCCACTTCGAAACTTAACCCTACAAACAACTAGATAACAGGCCAAATTTCTAAAGTGCGGCCACTACAAATACTCACGATCGAACACGTCTTCCACCTCTACCGTGGCCCCCGGAGAGACCGTCGCGAAGCCCACGATCTCGACCGCAGGCGAGTTGGTCATTTCGCTCGACGCCGGGCTAGGTCCGTCGTTGTTCTCTGAATTCAAACACACTGCGAAGGGGAGGGGGGGGGGCAATGGACAGAACCGAGTGATGGGTGCTGAGGGTATACGCCGCACCGAGGCATGCATCTGTCTCCGGTGACGAGTACGTGGGCTTGGAATCAAGGACAAACCCTAATATTTAGAAGTAAGTGCCTTGTCTTGGCAGGCGACCACGGATCCTCTGCACCATTCATCGCCATGCAGAGGGAACAACAAGACCTGAGCGTTTTGACCTTTATGCGCCGAAAAAGGGACGCTCCGTACGAAACCAACCGGATAACGACGAACCAACCAAGCACTTCCTCCCCGGCGCAAATGGTTGGACCTACCTATTGGGCAACAAGACCATGTCCGTGTGTGCGTGTGTGATCGTCCCATGTATTCTGGCACCGGGCTACAGACCTTTCGGTGGATATATCTGACGCACCAGCCGGGGTCACACAAGAGGAAGGTCACACAGGAACATTTTTTCATTTGTTTGTTTTATGGCTCCCAACCTATCCCCCTGCGGTGCTTGCCTTGGTTTTGACGCAACACAAACCCGTAGCAAAATATTGAGTCTCGATGCCGGGGGAAACACACAACCAGTAACCACACACCTACATTCCCATACATGCATAGCCGGTCAGCAAAAACGAGTCCCTCTCAAAGGAAAAAAATGAATACCATCGTATCACGAAGCGCCCGAATCAAACATCAACAAAAAAGTTAAATCGCACAGCAGCGAGACAACGCAGAAACACCTCCCTAGGTTGACGGTGGACCACGGTTTTGGGGGCTAGACAACCTACCTACCCCAACCCGAACCCTGTTCCACGAATGTACAATACAAATACAGTACGTGCCCTTTTCTTGCCATAACACAGCGCCCTATACCGCTCCATCCCGAGGTTTGCCTTCTGATATACCCATTTTTGTTTTAGACGTTTTCCCTGTGCCATGAACGTATCTCCGCTCTACCCGCCTGTCTGTCTCGTTGAGTGAAATACAGTATTAATAGTGTTCTGCGCAAGGGGAAGGAAGTGTCGCAGCCGGCAAGGGTGCTCGCGCTGGCTGCCTCGCATCCTCGGCACGCCACGGATATATACATCTCGCGCGAAGAGATGCAGGCACTGCGGCGCAGTTGTACGGCACTGCAGCGAGTTCCGGGCACTACGCTGGCGGGTTGTTTGACCTTTACGCCAGCCGGAGGCAATAGCGTACACGGTGACACAACAACCGTCCACGGTTTCCGTTCATGTTCTAATTTTTTTGTAGCTCACCCGCGGCGAAGGAAGCATCCATCGTCTCCGCGGAGTCGCCTCTGGATGGGATCTTGTACCACACCCCGCTGGAGATGTCAACCGGATGGGAGGCGCAGTCGAAGACCTGAAAAGGCAAAAAAAAAAAAAAAAAGAAAGAGCGAAAAAGGAAAACTGAAAACTGTTGAAATACATGTACTGCTGTGCACGTCACAAACGGAATTGTGGGGTAACCGAAGGGTGATGATGTCATCGGGAATACGAACGATTCTGTTCACGGTCCTGGCATGTAGTAAGCACGCATCCCAACATTCTGGGGGCGACCAATCGCGAGGAGCTTCAAAAAAGCAGTCTCAACATCCGAAAACCGCAATCGGTACACACCCTTTGCGTCGCGATTGAAAAATCGTCAATAGTTCAGCCCACACGACGCGCAACACATGATTCGACGAAACCTTTAACAATAAAGAAGCAAACCGTCACCCCCTTTCCGCTCACCATGTAGGCGGGGTAACCTCCATCGCTTTCCCGCAAAATCCAGCCGCCGCTATCGCACGCAGCGAGAGCGCGACCCTCTTCTTCCCGTGCAGCCACGCTTCCTCCGCGCCCGCGCGCCGATAGCGCCAGAGCGTCGCCGTCGTTGTCGCCCCTTGGTTGTGCGTTGTTGGTGAGGTGGCGCTGCCTGCCGAAATCCGGTTCTAATCTCGGAACGGGAAAGGAGAACAAGCGATCGTACAGCAACAAAGAGAGGGGGGGGGGGGGGGGGATAGAGAAACAGACGGACAGCACACAGACAGACAGACAGAGAGACATTGACGAGACAGGGAGCATGAATAAAGAGAGGAAGAGGGAGGGCTACAGAGGTACAGGGAGAGGGGGTCGCGTTACATTAGGGATGGGACGACACGGGTCGGCATCGCTTCCCACCGAATATAACATATTTCGGCAAAAAACGGGGAGAAAGGTAAGAAACCCCGGCATTTGGCGAGGTGCCAAATCCCCTGGAAACGGGTTCCTTCCCGTCACAAAGACCAAAACCCGTCAAGAATTCTCTGCTTGTTTTGTTTGTCATATCTGCGTTGGACGGCCGTCACACCTTTGGGAATACGTTTGATCCACCGTCCGCGGGGTTACACAGGAACAACATATTCTCCCGTCTTTCCTCCTGAGGTGCTGACCTTCGATTCTCGACGAGAGGGAGCGTTGGTTACCCTACAATCAGCATACGCCCCTTCCCTCACTGTTGCGTGTGGTCACGAACATGATCATCTTCGCTCCCAAACACACTTGCAAGACAACACCGTAGGTCGAAAACAAAAATCAAAACACACCCCGGACCGATTCTCAAAGCTCGATTTCTCCGCCGTCAAAAGATGCACATTCGGACAGCTCACGACGAGGCGGCCACAAGCTTCGGCACCCTCGCCGCCGTTATCGCTGCACAGCAGTAGTCGAGGTTCGAAAACCTGTCCAGGCGATGTGGTATCTTCTATTTCACCTACGGAGGTTCGACAATCGGCTCCAGGGTATGTGGAATCCTGCGTCACACCCACGGTACCACAAAGCACCGACCTCCTTCAATGGCGATCGACACCCCGCCCGTCCAGTACATGACGCTCTCGCTGGTGGCGGTGTCGTTAGTACTGAAGAACACCGGCCTGTTGTCCAACGTCATGCCCACGTCGTAATACATCCCGCTGCATCATCAACGGGGACAAAAAAAAACAGAGCAAGGGCGTGTTGCGCACAGCGACCAAAATGAGCGTTCCCTCCATGCTGGGAGCTGAACAAGCAGCGACGGAAAGCGGTCGAGGATCAATATGGTGGGTACAGTAGCGCTGCTGCGGGAAACTATGTTGCTGCATGTACCGCCCGAATGTACATGAGGGCTTGCAACATTCGACGGAACCCCCCCATGCAATGACTGACTCCGCCAAACAAGATTGCTTGCCGATACATCCGGGGGGTATCATAGGCATACTTAGTACTTCTGCATCGCTTGTGTAGCCAATGACCAACAGCCGTAGGCAACATGACGTAAGATATCACACCCCCTGAACCACTATTCAAAGCTCGAGTGTGGCGGTGCCGAACATGGCGGTGTTGGAACCGTCTCGGCGAGAGCCTTCCCGAAAAACGCACCTATCAATTGGTGTTACGTATGCATCCTTTTCGTCGTGTGACAATCGAGCATGAAAATCGGTTCGGGGGTGTGAAAGTGATGCGTCACAAACCGGTAGATAGATAAGGCAGATACCTGAGGTCCACGGGCATCGACCTCGACTCATCACCCGCGCTGGAGATGACGACAGTAGTACACTCCGTCGCCACTGTCGGACGGCAGGTAGAGAGTTTCGTCGGTCGGGTGAACAACAACAGCAAGCACAGCGGAGGGAAAGAAAGGGAACAGGGTGATGGAGTTTGGCGGCGATTGCTTCAGGTGACCCTCGTAGATTTGTACCCGATCGGGTGGGCATCGTGGTTTGTACGTGGGCCACTGCCAAGCCTTAAGGAAAGAACAAAAACATACTGTATGCATCACTGGTGGGAACATGGAGGGAGTTTCGACAAGGCGAGAGAGAAAGCGAAATACGAGTAATCCCCTCCGCAACGGCGGTACTTGCTGCGCTGTTGCTGAATAATACACAAGAGAGTATCCCGGGGCTAGTGACATCAGCTACCGCTGCCAACCCGCAGTTCAGGAGATTGGGATGAGTGGCGGCGAGCACAAGCAGAACTTCAAGTACAAGACAGCGTCGATCTACTTTGCGGAGATTTGCGGAGATTGTAGGCCATTACGATCCTCCTATATCACGACCACAGAAGCAGATTGTAGCGCGCGAACACACCTTTTCCCGCTGCTGTAAGTCACAGGCTGTCCTCTACTGTAGTGACATCGTATACTAAGCTGCCGCTAGAATAACTGACATTGTTCGAGCGCCTGCCGTTTTGGCCCTTTTGACTTGACTTTAGGCTGTGTGAAATCATATTTCAAAGGGGGCGTGTGGAGGTAGACTCATGATTGAGCCTCTCCTGCCGCCTAGCATAGTGCGAGAATCAAACGACTCGATTTGTCCCGATGCCTTCCGACTCTTGCGTCTCTCGTGTGCACTCCTTCGTGCTCTTGCGGTTTCTCGAAAAAGCAGTCGACATCAAACTAAATAGGGTGGGTTCCCCCCTCAGAAAATATGCCTCGTCTGTTCTGAATCCAGCAGTTGAAGGGGTGCAGGACGTACGTGGCAAGTTTTCGTGTGTGTTTGGCAAGTGCGCCTCTCACCAGGGACTGCTTCAATTGACAGTCACACCTCCTCGTGCGATGACTCCGACGCCATCGAAATAAATCACTGTAGATTACCACCACAGCAGCACAGCGTAATAGGAAGTAGTAACCTCCCATCGGTGCCGTGTCTGCGATGGCCGCCAACGCCCACAACAGGGTTCTATGTAAGTGTACGAAACAACGAGCAAACCGATTCCGTTCTTATGGATGCCGACTACATATCAGCGGAGAATGGGATCACGCTACGCGACCGCTTTGCTTCGCTTCCAAGAACCAACTGTTCGGCGCCCTCCGTCCTACAGCCTACAGCAGCAGCTAGGCACTGCACTGGTGACGCAAGGAAACAATTCTGGGGCCAAAAGCTCCAACCATTGCAACCCGCGCGACAGCCGAAAGTAGAATACTTACAGCAGATACGATAAAACCCTTGTAATATATATAACACAACTTGTCGTGGCAACGCCAAATCGGTCTTTGGCTGGGACATCGTGCCGAGCGAGGACCTGACCGCACGCCGCACGGCTCTTACGAACCAACTCACGTGACCTGCCCAGAAAGAGGGAGTCATCTGGAAGCATCCTCCTGCTCGGCCGGAGGAGCTGTCCACGCCGTTCTGTCGGTGCGCCCTTTCCCAAACACCCCAGCGGTGCTTCCCTCGTTTCCCACACCGTCCCGAACCGCTCTCCTCGTCCTTCGGTTCCTCTGCCTCTTGCTGTTCTTCCCGAAGCGAACCGACGATCCAAGCACGTCTCACGGCAACAACCCAGTCGTTCGAGGGAGAGGTAGAGGCAACACGGGAACACGAAATCCAGCAATACCCCTCCTCCGCTTACTTTGTGTCAAGTGTCTTAAGTGTGGCAGGTAGGGTGACAGTAGCGTGGCTCCACACACCGCACCAGTCCCGAGAAAAGAGGCTGCAAAGAATTTTCCACGCATGTGTAGGAATTTTTTGCTGCGCATACAAGACCGTTGACGAACGAACATCCTACCATAAGTTGACCACCTACACCTACTGCTGTAGCTCGAGGTTGCACGCCACATTTTGTACAGCTGACCTCGCCAAAGTCGATTGTGAGGATTCAGAAAAAAGGGCGGGCTAGCAGCAACGAAGAAAGAAATTGGACCTGGACCCGAACTGGCGTCTCTTCAAAAGTTGTACACATCTTGCCACAACAAATTGCCGTTCGGTTCCCCAATTGCAAATTGGGGTTTCAGCCAGCGCAATCCCGAAAAAAGTATTAAGAAAAATTAAAAAAATAAAGAAAGAAATCCTGTCCGAATTTCGTTACTTTGTGCCATCATTCATTCTTTACCGATTACAACATGACAACAGGTGATCTCTGCCACCCGTGCTTCCTGCGCTCCACCGCACGGACAACCTGCAGTCGTGCCAGCCCGCCGCCATACAGAAACGGGAGAGCAAGAAGCTCCACACGTCGCCGGCAAAGCGCGCTAGGTCGTCTTGATGACGACTCATCTGTTGCTACTTTTTTTGCATTTCGATTTCGACTAGTAGGATATTTTTCGCTGCTCTGTTGTATTTTAGCACCACACCTATTGTTCTTATTTCTATACCGATTGCCGCATGCAGAGGACACAGACAGGTCTTTCTGCGTGGATTTCATCACGAGACACTACTGCTGTAAGAGTACAATGTAGCCGTAAAATCGCCCCCTAGGTGGCAGTGCCGCATGTACGGTATGGGAGAGGAGAGGTTGCCGAGAAAGGCTTAGGAGGCGAAATGGACAAACAAGAAGAATTGATGTACCAACCTACGGACTGAGTTATATTAATGTTATAGATGACGCATGGATAGGGGTCCAACTTGAAAAAGGTGATACACTGGAGAGGGGAGGTCTAGAGGGGTTCAAGGAGAAGATATCTGTTGTTGCTTTGGAGAGAGAGAAGGGCAGGATCAAACCAAAGAAACCAACGACACGGAGGGTCTCGATGTGTACGGAATATCAAAGAAGGAATATATTTAAAGATTACCTACTACAGGAGGGCCAATCAATGCAGAGACAAAGCTGAAGTTCAAACCTAGGACTGGGGATGTTGGCCTTTGAGAACGTAGACGAAGATTGAGGAAGGCAGACGATGAAGACGACAAACCCAGGTGTGATTGCGGCTCCGAGGGCGAAGACCATCTTCATGTACTTGCGGAATGTCCGTGGTACAAGAAGGAGAGGAAAATGTACATGACTGAGCTAGCTGGGAAAAAAAGTAGAAGGAAAAAGTACAGAAAGAAAGACAATTGACGAATGTAAATAGCCAAGAGAAGACGGTAGTAGCTGTACTGGGGCATAGGAAATGGGTTGAAAATAAGGCGGAAAGTGATACCGATGGGAAAACATGTTTGAGCGACCTTTTCGGCAACGTAGGAAGGAACGATTGGCCATCGGTGATCGATCCTGTGGGAACAATGCTCCGTCCTGTCGAGGACGCGTGGTCAACGGTCTAACCGCCAAGTACGGCTGCCAAAACATGAGAGAGAGTACACCCCCCTTCGGATCCAACTCCTACGATCGGGAAGAGGCGTAAGTAGGTTAAAATGGCTGGTAGGCCGTATGTTGTACGATGTGGGAGAGGAGACATTGCCGAGAGAAGCCTGGGAGGTGAAGTGGACAAACAAGAAAAATGGAGGTACCAATCCGGAGGGAGTGGATTAAGGTTGTAGACGGCGTAGGAAGAGTTCAAAATCGATTAGGTTGGTAAATTGGAAACGAACGGTAGATCTAGAGGGGTTCGAGAACAAGAAATCTGCTTCTTTCGCCGAGAGAGAACACCATGTAACAAAAGGATCCAAGGATAAGGAGGGTCTCCATGTGTATGGATGTTGAAAGAAGGTATAGGTACCTACTACTGGAATGGATGCAGGGAGAAAGTCGAAGGTCAAATTTTGGAGTGGGGAAAACGGCCTTCGAGAACATTGACGAAGATTCAGGAAGGTAGACGATGAAGACGAGTTCAATGTGAATGCGATTCCGAGAGCGAAGACCGGGTTCATGTCGTTGCGAAACGTCCGTGTTGGGCGACAAGGGCAGAGAACTGTACATGACTGAGTTGGACATGTAGAAGAAAAGGTACAGGGAGGTGTTTGAGGCATGGAATAGCCAGGAGAAGACGGTGGTAGCTGTACTGGGGCAAAGGAAGTGGGTTGAAGAGGCGGGAAGTGATATCGATAGGATAGATCGGCTAGGGACAACATGTTTTGGCCACGTTTGACAAAGTACTTCTAAGTGGGAAGGAACGATTGGCATCAGTGATCCTGTTGGAACATGGATGCGTCCTCTCGAAGACGTTGGTCAATTGTCCTACCGATAAGGCATGCGAAACATGGGAGAGAGTACGCTCTCCCCCTCCGCGCGTACAAGAATTCATCACGAGGTCCTCTCTCTCTCCCCCCCCCCCGCCTCGAATCAGAAACTAACTGCTCTTTGGGTCACCCCCCAGCCTCCTGAGTTCTTATCTTGCAGCCGCCGCGTTTTGGGGCTCCGTTCTTATCTGTATGCGCATTGGTACAGTACACCGGGCGGGTTCTTGTTCTTAATACAACGTCGGAACTGAGCATATGTTCTTATGGCCAAGTTCTTAGATTTTGGATTGTTTGAGGCTCAAGTTCTTAACTGCTAAGTTCTTAAGTGGTGGCGCGTTCTGTAGCTGTTGTTGTTATCGTCTTCCTATACGATTGATTCTGATTTTTAGGGGTTCTTTTCATGCAACTCGGTTTTTCCATTTGCCTATTTTTCTTTTTGTCGTATTTTTGCGGTTGGTTCGGAGATATTATCTGGTTTTTTTTCGCACCACGCTTGCGTGCGTGCGTTCCTTTTTCCAGGTTTTATTCGCGGGCTTCCCGCAATATGTCCTTACTTCTTGTCCTTATACCACACTCTACTACTACTACTGCTGTTGTTACTCCTGTATGCAGTGCCGGCGTTGTTGTTCGAATAGACTACGAGAACTTCATTCAGCAAAAAAATGCTACTGCTGTTGTTACTCCTGTATGCAGTGCCGGCGTCGTTGTTCGAATAGACTACGAGAACTTGATTCAGCAAAAAACTGGGTAAAAAAAAACAACTGGGGAAGCAGCCGTGGGCACACGGCAATCTATGTATATATGTGGAGCCCCAGGTAGAGACGATGTGAGGAGTTCGGGCGTGTCAAGTGTCGTGTTGACGATTCGGAAGGCCATACAAGTAGCGTTTCTCACGGCGTACCGTGTGTTTGTCACGATGTTTAAGTCCGTGTGAGCTCGTTTGTTCGTGTGTGTCTTCAGGTGGGCGTCCTCACGACAAAACTCCGTCCCCCACCAACCTCCACCAGTCATCGACAGATGCGTGATGCGTTGTTGTATGTATACGACGCAACGGCGACGCATTATTCTCGGTTCATGTGCACCCGGTGTTGTACGAAGTCGAGGAGCCCACTCTACCTTTGTGTGGGGGGGGGGGGGCAACGGTGAAAAAACTTCAGCTGTGCACGGTCGGATGATCAGACACCGCTGCAGGTGATGAAAGGTAACCACATGAACATCTACCACGTGACCCGCGGGGCAAGCGCGTACCATGTACTGCACAGAGTAGCCACAAGCATGAAAGTCCTCCAGCATTTCAGTATTCTGCATTTCCGTCTTTATTCAGTTCTAGACCTCCAGAAGACCGGAAAAGGCCAGCCCGCCACGTCGCTTCATCATACCCGCAAGCTAACGGCGAACGCGACGAGCTCGCTCGCTTTGGTCCTCCGCAACAAGACAAAATCATGGAAACGCCAGTGGTACAGCCAACAACGCGGTCTTCGCAATCCTAGGACCAGAATCAACGATCGTTTTGTGCGTTAGATGGCGGTACTCAAACACTACGGTATGGGCTATGGACTACGAAGAAGCGCTTCGAAGTGCCTATCTAATCGTCATCTAGACCCCATTCTCTCCACACACGGCACAGGTAGGATAGAAAGGTACCCTTGGCGGTGACTGCTGACGTATTTTCCATGCTTCGCCACCACCCTAATCTGCTCGCCTCGACCCCCCTCCGTTGCCGCGTGGGGCGGGGGCACCCCTCTCCCCGCCGGCTCTGCGTGTGAGATGACCGTCAACGCCACCGCCGGACGACACCAGAGTGGGGGCCAGGCTCGGAGCTCTGCGTGTGAGGAACAACAGGGGGGGGGCTGATTTGTCGCGCGCCAAACCCGTTGGATCATCGACAATTGACGCCTGACCACACGTTTGGGACGCGGGGCTACAGTACCGCCGTGTAGGAAGACGAGGACAACATGGCCGTGGCTGTTCCTACAATAGGACTACTGTACTATACCGAAACATCCCCACCGCAAAGCCTACCTACCGGACACGCCGTGATACAAAAACACGGGATTCAACCATTCAAGCATTCGTGCGCGTCTTGCAAGGTGGGGCAGTTGTGCTGGACGAGCGGCGGAAGGGGGCACCCGGGACAAGATTCGACACCCTCCCTCCCTCCCTCCCTCCCTCCACAATTCCACGCGCTGCCCCAAAAGGTACCCTAAGCAAGGACCAATTGCTTTCAGAAAAGTCCGGGACACCGATACTGCGGCTGTCCCTTGCGACTCTGCCTGTGCGTGGAACTTACGGACTGGGATGATGGCCATCGGCAGCGTCTTTTCTCCTGCGGTGCTGCTGCTGCTGCGGACCTGCTTCGTGCTGTCCTGACTTTCGCTTGTGCGTGCTGCCACTACTACTTGCTTGAACCCCGCCGACAACAAAGCTGTTGCCCCCGCTGCCGCTGCTGCGGTGTTCTTGTTGGCGGTCGGGTTTTTCCCTCCATTTTGCTGCCGCGGCAGCGCTCGGGTTGGCCGTTGCGTCCGGCATGCCCTTCCCGCCACCACCACCGCCGCTACCCTTGCCGGAGAACATCTGGGCGAAGAGGTCGGCGACCGCACCCCCTCCCCCACTTCCACCGGCCCCGCTCCTTCTTGCTGCCGGAGGCTTTTGCGCAGCACTCGCCGGCCGTTTGCCTGCCTCCGATGATGTCCTCGCCACGCCACGACCGCCACTACTACCGCTGCTTGAAAACAACGCGACCGGGTCAGAGCCGCGGAGGGAGGTTCGAGACCCGGCAGTCGCACCGTGGGCGTTTGCCGGATGTTTGACGGAGCCGCCGCCGCTGCTGTGGCGCCCGGCACCGCCGGTGGGGCTGCTGAACACCTGCGTTAGCAGGTCTGCCACGGCTCCGCTTCCTTCACCCCCTCGTCTTGTCGGCAGCGAAGCGCTTTGAGCGGCTGCCGTTGCGGCTGCTGAGTCTCCCGCTCGCCTCCCGTTCTGTTCAACTGCGGGGCCCTGCTGCTGATGCCGTGCTGCTGTCGGCTGCTGCTGCTGCGGCTGCTTTCGCCGAGCTTCCACGGCCACCACGGCCAACGATCGGCCGGCGACGGCGGCGGAATTCGTGTTCAACCTAGACGGATGCGCCGTCTTGCTCAAGCTGTTGCTGCTGCTGCTGCTGCTGCTGCTGCTGCTGCTGTTGCTGCTGCCGGTCGTGCGAGGCCGCTTACTAACCGCTAGCACCGGCTGGTGCACGCTCCGGACTTTGAGCCGTCGCCGTTGCTGCTCTTGTCGCTCCTGGCGAGACACCTGGCTGTCTCCGGCAACAACCTCCCTAGGTGGGGCGGAGAGAGCGGACCGAGGAACGTTCTTCCCGAAGTGCTTCCTCAGCGGAGGTGGCGAGGCCCTGGAAGTTGCGGACGAAGGCGGCGCCTTCGATCTCGGTTTCGGCTTCGGTTTCACCTTGGAGTTTGGAGGCGTTTTTCCTTCCGCCTCGGCCTCGAGCCGCTCCAGCCTGTCCCAGTAGTCCTCTTCGTTGCCGAAAGCGGCCATGGACACTGGTTTCGTGTTTTCGACGGGGGGGGGGGGGGGGGGGAGTACCCGTGTTTTGCGTGCCTTTATCGTTTGACCGTTGTCCTCGAGAGGACGGAGGATTGTCCCCACAGGGCCGATCGCCGATGGCCAATCGTTCCTTGCTACTTTGCCGAACGTGGCTCAAAAACTTTTTCCCTATCCCATCTGTCCTATCGACATGACTTCTCGCCTTTTCAGCCCGTTTCTTATGCCCCAGGTGGAGGGGTTCAATGAACGAGGTGGGTGCATAAGGTGCAGTCACGGAGGCTGGCTGTTGCGTACTCGGGAAAAACGCGAAGCGTACACGCGCACGCGTGGATGCGTTTAACCGCGAGCGGTATTCGCACCCCTGAAGCATTTTTTTTATAAGCCATTATTGATTTGGTCAACACAACAAGCCGGTCTTTTCTGGAGCTTCGCAAAGACCGCTGACTCCTCGCCCTCCTCGCCGGGGGTGTTAACCTCACGAGTGTCGAGCACCGTTGTGTTCCTCAAAGGCACGTGTTTTCTACACAAGAACGAGAAAAGTTTGCAGCCGTAAACACTGCTCAACAAACGGCTTCATGTGTACGTGCGTCAGTTCTTTCAGCATGCGTGGGGAACGTTTGGGGCTGTGAGTGCATGCGTTGAAAGGTACCGGCCAAATGAGAGGCCGGCGGGGTCGTTCGTCGTTCGCGGTGTTCCTTACTTCGCGGTGTTGACCAAAAATATAGTTTGCTGTTGCCTTGATCTGACCACAACGTCGTTGTAAGGCGCACATCCATATGCCCTGCTGAAAGGTAGCAACAACAGCAGCAGCAGCAGCAGCAGCAGCAGCAGCAGCAGCAGCAGCAGCAGCAGCAACATGAACAACAGCACACGACGTGCTAGCGGCTTGCCTTCTTTCTTTGGGAGCCGCTTGCCTCCGCCTGCGGCCGGTGGGGCTCGTGCATCGAACCCGGCGGCGTCAAGCTCTCCGTTGCTCGAGCCTTCCATATCCTGATGTTGTTGACAATGGGCTGGTGGTGTAAGGGAAGGTCGCACCCTGCACGGCTGACTTATATCCAGTTGGTCAGCCGGTTAGTGCGATCGATGCTCGCTACAACAGCGGAGAGAGGTGAAAAAGACGCTCTCATCGTCGCTGCTGCCGCCCTACACTACGGCGCCCAAACTACAATTGTACCCATTGACAAAAAATACATTGACAATGCAAATATTTTGGCGGTTGACACCAGCCACGCGGCACGTGCTACGTCTGCGAACGACACACACTGGCTAGAAACATTCCACGGCCTTCACCGAGTGGAAATGCCGCGCACCAAGGTGCCGCCCCGCCGCTACCATCACGGCCACACCAAAAACACAAAACCCAACACCATGTCCTACAGAAAAAGCTCAGGGGGGCACGTTGTCCCGTACCAAAATGTTTCAAACGTCCCCGGGTGAAACGTTCGGACTCGCCGTGATGGGCGAGTTGAAGGTCTCCCTGGGAGTGGGTGGAGCCCCGCCGCCTTCGTGCACATAACATGCCATTCATGAAGACGAAACTCTTATAGGCCCTCATCTTGCTTCCTCTGTGGTGCAACCAACACAACAACGACTTACATAGGTATAGCGCAGGGGTCCTAAAATAGCACATGTTCTTATGGCCAAGTTCTCAGGCTTATATTCCTCTGTGGAGTAACAAACCCGACATCGACCATATAAAACTTGTAGCGCAGGGTTCCTAACATGGCACATGATCTTATGGGCAAGTTATAACCAAGTTCTTAGGCTTCTACACCTCTGTTGAGCGATCAAACCAACATCGATCACAAGAACCTTCCATCGCAGGCGTCAAAGCTTAGCACATGTTCTTATGGCCAAGCTCTTATGTTCCAATGTTTGATGAGCCTGAATGTCTCGTCTCCCAGGCTCGAATGCATCAGGGACAACAACAACAACAACAACAACAACAACAACAACGCACACCGACCGACACATACCTGGCCCGAGTCGTCGCTGCTGCCGCCGTCTTCCTCCCCCGCCAACCGATAGTACCTCTTAGCGTCCCACCCGCTATCGTCTTGTGGCGCCCCGCCGCCACCTTTTCCTCCTCCCTTGCCACTAGCCCCTGCGCGGCCGCCTAGGTCGCGCACGCCCACGCCCATCCAACCCCCCCCGGCCCTAGCTCCCGCCAGCTTCAAGAGGTCCGTCTTGATCCTCTCGCGCTCGCCACCGCACCAGTCGCACGTTCCTCGGCAGATATCGGTGGGTACGAAGCTGCTTTTGCTGCTGCCCGCGGAAGCTGTCGCAGGCCCGCGCTTCTTCTGTCCCGCAGCTGTACGCGTGTTGCGGGAGCACACGGCCGAACCGAAAAACAACACGGCGGTAGAGTGCGCAAGGTTAACGATTAAGTGTGGACAAGCTCGGTTGAACTGTTCATGGGTACGGCGGACTTGCCGCGGGACATTCACGCCGGATATCCAGCACGGCAACTATCGTTAGCACACGCTTGCGTGGGGCGGTGCCGTGTGGCCGTACGCCATGTGCAAGACGAGCAGGATGCGTGTCAAGCATCTAGTTCTATTACTTGATGCCGGCGAGCTAACTGCTGCGTGCTCGTTTAAGCAGCGTTGCACAACACCATGGACACATATCGGACATGACCCTGCCGAGGTGTGGCCGAGTCTGTGCCTACTCCTATTCTCCCGGGTACGCGTTTGCATGGGTGGAGGTACATCGTGAAAATAAAAAAAAGGCAGGAACTGGCTCATTTCTCAATGACCAACTTCGTCCAAGAAAAAAAAAAACTCCATTCGCTCGGATGTGCGTCGTCGGAAGCTATCTCCTCGCCACCGATGGAAAGTCTAAAAACTCCAACATCACAAAGCATTCGTTGTCACTAGATATATTAAGCTCGGTTACAGACAGGAGAAACAAGAACAACGTATGCAGCGTTATGTCTTCGCCTTCGCCACCAGACTTGGGGCTACAGTATTGTGAACACACAAAGTCGATGGAGGAGCGACGGGGATACAATGTGCTGTCTACACTTACGTGTATTCTTAGTAGCCACCGCCTTTGGGCAAAAAACAATCAAACGCTACGCGCCACCACCTAGGAATGCCGGTGTCACTGATGTGTGCCGGGCAGGGGGAAAAAAACAATAGAGAGAAAGAGAACGAGATGCAATTCGCAAGGTCTTGTGTTCTTCCATTCATTGTCCATTCCCATACAACACTATTACTCGCTTCTTGGACGGCGACACAACTGGCCCTACTACGATCGATTGCTGTGAGCACTTGTGTGGCGTCCGAGGTGAAGGGTCGTCACAAACACGAAAAAGCGAGCGCCCGCAACCAGGAAGAACAATCACAATCGGCCCAAGTCCCGAGTCCCCAAGAATGACTGTCTGAAAGCTACAGGAAGAAATGGCGGCGAGACAAAGACAGGGACAGAGCCGGAGACAATGACAGACATCCAGATCCAGGATGAACGTGGGACGCCCCTTGTCGCTGCGAAACATCCCCCCCTCCACCAAACGTGACTCAGCTTCTCGTGCAGCAACAAGCAATCGCTCCAAACACAAGGCGGTAAAACCGGTAACGATAGCTACTGCTGACCTGCCGCTGCCGCTGGTGCCCCGGGTACCTCTCCGAAATGGGCAAGGAGGGCCTTCCGCCGGCAGCCCTGCTTCTCGCAGTAGGCCACCACTGAATCAACAGCCTTGACGGCCTTCAGGGACGCTCGCCGCCGGCGCTTCCGGCCCGCTTCCGTCCCTTTCTCCTTACCTACAACGAACACAAGAATGAAAATGTCGAGTTGCTCTATTACAGTGAACAAATGTGAACAAAAGAACAAAAAAAATGATAAAAACACAGCGTTGTTTTATTGAACGAATGAAACCCGCAATGACAATTGTATGGCTCTGCGTGGAGTGGAACAACGAACAAGACAGTGACAGAATTGGTGCAAAAAGCAATTCAACAAAACGCGTTGTTTGGCAATACCAAAGACTAAGCACAACAAGAAGTTTGTTTTGCTGCTTTCGTGAAGAAGAAACAATGAAAAACGTTGGTTTGCTTTAGTGACAGAATGAGCACAACAAATAAAAACGAGTCGCATTGCCCTGATAGTGAAAGAATGGACACGCCCATAGAAAATAGCGCTCTGCTCCAGTTAAAAGATGAAAACGTCAATCAAAAATGCCGTTCTAATGCAAGAAAAAACACAAAAACTGTATTGCCCTTCATAGCAAAAGAGGGAAATGATGAACACGACAATGAGTTTGCTCTATTTTGTGAAAGAACAAATATAACATTAGAAAACGTTGTGTGCTCTAGTGGACTATAAAACACAAATGCTATCTTCGCTTCATCGAAGGAATGAGCATCACAAAGAAAAATGTCGTTTGGCTCTAGTGAAAAAATGAACACAAGATAAAACAACGTTGGTTTGCTCCATTCGAGAGAATGACAACAAATCGTTGGTCTAACGAACGAATTAGTACAACAAAACGAAACAGCAGTTTGCTCTATCAAACACAGGAATGGATATCATTGTGAAGCTATGAACAAAAACAGCAAAAACGGTGTTCGGATATATTGAAATAATGAAATGGAAGACAACTATCGCCCACCCGAGAGTTTTTTTAACAGCAACAGCAACAGCAACAACAACAACAACAATAACAACAACAGCAAAAAAAGAACCTGCGAGTGGGCGGGGTTTCCTAGCCAAGAAGGCCAGGAGTCCGACCGTCTCTCGGCTGTGGTAGACCACGCTGACCGCCTTCGATCCGTCTCGCCCTGCCCTCCCTAGCTCCTGGTACAAGCCCTCCATGCTCTTCGGCAGGTCCCAGTGCACGACGAACCTACAGTAGCATGCGTAGGATAGCACCGAGATTAAGGTACCACGAAACCAACAGCAGCCAGCAACGACAGCAATAAGCCGTGACGCAAGCGCTCAAAAACTCCGCAGGGCTGTTCCGCATCTTGGTTTGAAACGACAAACATACGACACACAACCGGTGCAGATCTTGAGTCTTTCTCGGCGGGGAAAGGCGACATAAAACGTGGAGAAACACACAAAATCCCCACAAGATCAGACGTGGATGTAGATTCCCCGCAAAAGAATGAAAACCGAGTTTGACACGATTCATTCGGATAGATTTCGAAAAAAGCTCCACAGAAACAAGCAGAAAACCAAGAATGAGACAGGTTTTCGGCAATGAGTAGATATGATGATTGTCTTCGACAGATGGGATCTATCCTTCCGTTCTTCGATTTTCTGATCACCTGACGTCGCTCTTGTCGACGCCCATGCCGAACGCCACGCTGCCTGCGATGACGTCCACCTCTCCCGACATAAACTTCGCCTGGAATTCAAAGAAAGACAAAAAAAAAGAGCGAGTTGAGAGAAAGAAACGAAAGAGGCGCATGGTAGACAAGAGGAAGACAGCAGGAGGAGACGGCAATCACTTGGCGTCGAGGTCGACGTGGAAATTTGAAAAAAACGTACATGCGTAAGGCCTCATTCTGCAAATCAGACGAAAAGTAGGTCACGTTCACAGGGTGCGGGCTGTGGTGGCCATGGAGGCCAGATTCACAGCTGTCCGTGCGCCGCCGTACCCAGCATGATGCATGATGTGGAACCCGATTTCAAGCAAGCGCTTCTACAGCAACTTCGGCAAGAGAATCTAATAGCTCGATTTTCCGACTTCGGAGCGGATTTTCCACGTCCGGGCTCGCAACCCCCGGTTAGTTCAATGAAAAAAAAAAAAATCCGCCCCCCGGCAAATTTCCGTCAGGTAGACGATGGCGACCGATCGATCGTTCGTGGGTTAGTGACGAGCGACACGTATGTACACCTCGACACCTGCACGAGAGAAAGAAAACAAAAATAACGCGTTTTCCATCCAGCCAACACGAACAAACGGCCAGAGACAACGGGAAAAGACGATGGAAGGCCCCCCAAGACAAAAAAAAACTGATCTGATGTGGACACCACAACAAACCAGGTGTATGCGGGAAAGAATGAACGACCCCATGTCAGACGGTAGAATGAATGCATAATTTTACTGCAAGGGGAACATTGAGCAGATGTGCGGGTGTACGCAACGATAAAAAAGAACACGTGCCTGGGCTTCGGTCCTGTCGTGGTCGGACATCTTCCCGTGGTAGGGCATCGCCAAGAACGCCTTCCCGCCGTCCAGTAGGGACTCCTCTCGCAGCGCTCGGTTGAGGGCCTTCGCCAGTTCCTCTGCGGTGTCCCTCTGCCCAGGGGTCGGGATGACGGCAACAACGAGAACGACCGCGGAGACGGCGACGATACGGCGGGAGCACCACGTCAACCATTACGCTGTGACGATTTGCCAGCAGCAGCAAGAGCAGAAATAGCAGCACCAGCACCAGCACCAGCACCAGCACCAGGAGCGGCGGCAGCAGCAGGATTAGCAGCAGTGACATTGACACGGAGCACGAAATCGCCACGAATACCAGTAGCGACACCACAAATGGCAAACGGCAAGATCACCACCACCAATTGTCCCTGCGCCCCTCCCGTGCATGTTCTCCACTACATGGCTCCTCCCGCACGCATGTGAGCCAACACACAAGAACGGTTCGAGACGAAGAAAAAAGAAAGAAGGAAAATGTACGGAGCATGGACTTCTCGTGTTTCACACTATGTATGCCTCCCCAGATGGTGTGCCCGTAGCCCAGTCGTCCTTAGTGTTGAGCACTGCCAGCTTATCGCGTTGTCACCAGCAGGATGATCACGACGCACGTACTGCATTTCATTCTCGCAAAATCTAGGACCCAGGGACCCACCCAGAAAGACACCACGTGGGAACGAGTTGCTCGGCGAATACTACTTAGACCCGGCACTGCGGCAGTCAATTACACTTCGTGGCGCTAGATGAGGCCCTCTGCAAAGAGAGCGAACTCACGGAGAGAGGGGTTACGGAAACCAAGACAAGAGAATTATTGCTGTTGTTGTTTTCGTCCTAATTATTATGGCGACCGTCCCCCCATTTTTCGTGGTGAGACGTGCACTACACTTTTCAGTGTATGTAGGCAGGAGAGAGTGGTTAACAAAAAACAAAACGGCACCTTGTGGCAGTATACGATCCCCGACTGGCCACGCCTCTCCCTCAGGAAGCCAACCAGGTGCTCGAGCGCGCCTCCATCCATGGCGTCCTAAAGAAACAAGCAAGCGAGCACAAGGGCGATTTCCCGTCATGCATAAGGATACTATATGCGTTGGGACAGAGGTATTTGTTGCTTTCGGTATTGGCCGTTCTTGTTTCACAGTTCTTGTTTTTCTTTGCCCCTGGCCTGAAAATTGCTGCTTGTGTATGAGTGTGTTGTGTGTTTTCGTCCTATTTATTATGGCGACAGTCCCCCCATTATTCCTGGAGAGAAGTGTACTACACTTTTCAGTGTATGTAAACAGACTGCTACACTTTTGCAGTGTATTTTTTCGTACGATCACAACCATCCAGGGTCACACGGGTGGGGGTAAACACCAGTGCTCTTTTCTTCGTTTTATTTATTTTCGTGCCCCCCCTTCCTCCTGCGGTGCATGCTGAATTTTGTTTTTATCTCGAGAAGGGTCCAGCCGTCCCGTTCCCTCGTCAACGGTGCTAACGTCCAAGTCTGGTACTCACGAGAGCTTTTTTCAGCTATTTTCGCTTTCACCCGCAACTTCTGTAAATTTTTCACCCCATGGGAATTCGAACTCACGACCTTTGCGACTAGCGGTTTTCGAGGATACCACTATAATAGACCACCGGGGCGACCGGCATTTGATGCTGGCCGCGGGAAAACAGAAAGACAAAGAGAGAGTGAGAGGGAAAAATACGAAAATTGTATCCGCGAGAGAACACCCTCCGACTAGTTCCGGCCTCCCTGTCTACTCAGTTTTCACCGGAAGTGACCGAGTTGAAGCGGTCCCACGACAGGATACGACGTTCCCGCACAGTCAACAACCGTAGTCTTGCGCCACCGACTCCACACCCTGAACCGGATGGATCAGGTGATGGACCCCTGCTTTCAAGCTCACGTATTACTGCAGGTTGATGATTGCCGGCGCAAATTTTAAACTTCTAAATAGTGAATACCCGCCGTTTGCCTCCTCATCTTCCTGACACCTCTAAACAGCAAGATACAGTACATAGTCCAGTATTTGACCGGTGCTACCCAAAGACGTCAAGGAAATGCTGCTCCAGAGGGGTGGTTGCTGCCAATATTACTCCATGTTGATGTAGATTATTTCGGCACATGCAAATGTAGCGTTCACCCCTCCAAGGGCTAGGTCACGGGTTCAATCCATGCGAGAGTGAGATGTTTTTTCGCCGTTCTTTTTTTCAGAACATGCATACATAAACTGCATATAACGTGTACGGCCGTTCGTCCGCGTTGGTGGATATCATCGAACTGTTGAGGTGCGCAACGTATAGACTACAAGTCAGCGCTGACTTGAAACTCCAGCGGATATGCCGTGCGCATTAACAAAAGTAAAACGTGTCCTTTTCAACCGCCGGAGGGCATCGTCGGTTTTGAAAAAAATGGCTTGACAACGCCAAACAAACAAAAGCGTTGCTCCTCATGCACGACGATTTCCAGCGAACGTCGTGAATTCACTCTGCATGTATACCTCAAACATGACACAGGTGCTCAATATTCACAACTTTGCGCGATAGTCGCACATGTCTTCAAAAGTATTAATATTCAGAACGACCATACCCATGTATGTGCACGCAAGAAGCGAGGCTAAGTTCCAACGCACCTTGTAGTGGACGGAGAGGTGGATTTCCGCGCGGTTGAAGGAGGTCTTGAGCACGCGGGATCCCTCGCGGAAACCGAGCTGTTTCTTGATGTCCGCGCACACCTGAGGGAAGCAGGAGCGGCGGCAGCAGCAACGGCAGCAGCAGCATCAGCAACAGCAGCAGCAGCAGCAGCAGCAACGAGATTGTCGCGGCGACTACGGTAACTCTCCAGCCATCACAGCCACCACAAACAGCAGCCACAGCAACAGCAGCCACAGCAACAGGACAAGGAGCCAAACAACCACAACAGCAGCGAAAACAACAAGATCAAGCAAGGGCGATACCGTACGCGAAACAACAACACCACATGCCAACATCACACCCTCGTGACACCGCTTTTCATGGGAGCACGAAGTTGCAAGAAAGCTGAAGTTCCCGAACTTTTTTGCAACTTTTCTCACGTACACTCATTATGGGAGCAAAACGCTGCTCAAAACGTTTTGCGACTTTTTCCTCAGGAGAAAAAAGCTGCGATCTGGTGAAAACGTTCTGCGATCTGGTGAAAAAGTTCTGGAACTCTTTTCGCGACGAAGGCGTCGAACAAAAGTTGCGCGGCGAGTCTTCCGCCAACCCACGTCCAGCTATTACCCCTACCACACAAGTAGACCCCCTCTCCAGCTTCGATTGGGAAGGCCGTGTTCACCGATATCTCCACGAACACTAAACGAGTTGCCTCAGGAATGTTTCCCGGAAGGGGGTGACGTCATGGGCTGTTGGGCAATGCCAAGGTTTGGCGCCGTGAGGTGCCGAACGCGCCGGGAAAAAAAAATGTGCTGACGTGCGACCGTCAACAGAGCGGTTATTTCCAGTTCGGTGCTTTGGACCGCCACGGGTGTGGTTTTCCACCGAAATTTTCCGAAGGAGGAAGCAACAGCAATAGCAAGGCCACTCGGCGGTAGGTAGCTCTCTGCTCCATCTTCCATACCCAAGGTTTGGTACCGTGGGGTACCATGCGCCTCGGGAAAAAAAGTTTTGGTTGACCTTAAAATACCCATGTCAGAGAGCGGTTCGTTCAAGTTCGCGGGGATTGTGTGCTCATGGTTTGGTCTTCCAGGGATAACTTTTCGAAGGAGGAGGCAACAGCAACAACAATACCAGTCCGAGGGAGGTAGCTCTGCCCCGCATCTTTCTGGTACCAGGTCAGATGCCTTGGGGGGAAAAGGTTGCAACTACCCTCTCCCGCATGCTCTGGGCGGCTTCTTGGCGGTGCGGTACGAAGGGCTGTGCCTGCTTCTAGCCATTGCAACAAAACCAAAAATAAAAGGCCACGCCTCCGCATTCCGCCAGTCCCGTGCACAAAAATTTCTTCGTCCCACAAAGAGCGTGCACAAAAAGCTCCGTTGACAAAAGCTCCCGACCAAAAGTTGCAAAAAGACTTGCAGCATGTTTTGCAACTTCGTGCTCCCAATAAAAAGCGGTGTGAGAGCTAATGCCATTGCCGAGATGAGGCTTGACGCTGCCAACTAGTTTTTTACAATGCCTCCGGTTGTGTGGCTTCGGAGGGGGTCCCTGTTTTGTGCCCGCATGTGCCCAGAAAATTCACCGGCACAATAGCGGACCGGTACTATTCAAAAGACTTGAAAATTCAGTGTGTGCCCGCCGAAAACACCGTCGCAATACCGGGTTTTGGCACTATTTCACTGGCACTACACAGGGACCCCCACTGAAACGAACTAACGTCGTCTCCCCCCATATGGAACGACACGGACTCATGGGAAGAGACCTGTCAAGAGAAATCGGAAGGGCCTCAAAACACGAAATGCCGTTGCCCTTGTCATCGGCTGCTACTGCTGGCGTTGCCCTTTCCTACCTAACCTCCAGTACAACTTTTTCCACCCCTTGCTGGGCTCACGGTTTCCCTAACCTTAAGAATGTCTCTACCTCTAGCCCTGCCGATTAAAAAATTAAAACCGGCGTTCATCGCAACCACGCAGAAAGCAAAAGCACACACCACGCGCGCACCCGAACACGCACCTCTTCTGTGGCGGTTGCGGTGAGGGCGAGGCAGGGCACCCCCTTGAGGTGCTTCTTGCGAAACGCGCCGAGCTCGAGGTAGGCCGGCCGGAAGTCGTGCCCCCAGGTGCTGACGCAGTGGGCCTCGTCCACCGCCAGGAGGCTGATCAACCCCCTGGTATTTTGTCGAGGGAGGAAAAGCGTGTATGGGAGTTGAATTTTGCGAACACCCTTGTCCCTACCCGTGATACAGCAGCGTTCTTTTGCTCTTTTCCACCTACCTACGAAACGGGTCCGCGAGAAACACGAGCTCTATAAAACCGTTTGCCTCTGAAGGTGAGTTCGACAACAGCTCAGAGAAGCTCTGCACATACCAGGATGACTCTCGGCGCATGGTTTCCGCAATGGATCAACAAGCGCCAGACACGCTGTTGTCTTGTCACATCAACCCGTCGGTATTTCTAAGGAGAGATGCCTACATTGTGTACAGGAGAGAAATGTTGTCTGTGTTGGCCGCATTCTTTGTAGAAATGCCACAGCCTGGATCATCATCCACCGCAAAGGAGGCTGATCAATCCCCTTGGTATTTGTCCAGGGAGGGAGGAAAACAAGCGCCAGATACTCTGTTGTCTCTTCACGCGAATCTGTGATTAAAAAAAAAATAAGAAAAAAACATCGTGCATCCGTCGGCAGCCAAAGAGAAAAACTGGACCAAAATTCTGCGACAATTCCGGAGTACTACGCAATAGCGAGTGGGTGGAAACGAGCGCCGAATGCTTCTGTTGAATGGCGAACGGACAGAGGCGAGACCGACAGACCTCCATCTCCCGGCGATGGTTCCACCGCTACCCTCCGCACCTCTTCGCCAGTCCCGCGAGAGCCGTGGTAAGCTCGCCGCCCTTGGCGAGCTTTTCCGGCGTGACGTACAGCAGCTTGATCTTCGGTGCGGCGCGCGCTCCGTCCGCACGACTGTTAGGGCCTGTGTGAGGAGGGGGGAGTTCCAGAACACATCAACGACCCACGGGCATGTCGTGACAACAAGCATCCACCCGAACGGCGTCGTGCGTTGCCAACATCGACTTCATGTGATTCGTAGGTGGCGAAGCACAAGACGGTAACCACCGCAAGCGTAGCTCATAGCCCGGGGGCCTCGTGCATTACACACACCACCACCCCCCCCCCCCCCTTCACGGCGAGCAACCCGTTGCGATTGCGCGTAAAGCACAGCCGAGCACGGAGACCGCTTTCTCCTCCTGGTCGCCTCAACAAGATTGATCCGGTCGACGTTACCCCCTCGCCTTGCACACTGCCACCGCCGATGACGACAACACCCACACGTGTTACGCCCGTCCTCTCGACGGCGGCGTTCGCGACCACGGCCGCAAGCGTTCCCAGAGGGATTTCGTGTAGTCACAGTGGTTGCCATGGACAGGCCAAGAAGCGATGGACCGTTGGTGGATATTCCCGAACACTGTCCACCTCTGAGCAACGATGGCGGTAGTGGCCTGGGTCTGCTGCGTAGAATAAAAAACACTTCGTGATGCAGGAACTACTAGTACGAGATTCAAAGAGACACACCGCCTCCCCCTGAACGAACTGTGCAGTTCCATATCTCGACAACAATAGTTGAGGCTTTTCAAAACCACCAATATCGACTCAATACGGCGAGGGGGCATACTTCGAAGCTCGAAAGCACTAGACCATTCTCGGCGGGTACAACGGCACAGGTCGTCGTCCACGCACGCACACGAGAGCAACCAAATGAGCACCACCACCTCCTCAGTCCTTTGCCTGTGCTCTACCACACGATACCCCGGTGTGACAAATAGCATCCGAATGCCCCCCCCCACCTCCTTTCTCTGATGTCACCCCCTCTTTCGTGCTGTGGCCGCTGCCGCTGCCGCCGCCGTAAGCAAGAATGTCGTCCATCACCGCGGCCGCGCGCGATCGGGAAGCGGAGGAGGACGTGAGCGACGCCGCCTCCACACCCTTCTCGTACAAACCCCGGAGCTGCGAAGGCGAGAGTGAAGGTGGGAGGCGCGGGGAGTACGATGACTCTGCCGCCAGTCGTCGATGTCGTCGTCAACGATTCGACTTCGCAAAACTCAAAATGACGACCATTACAGCGCGCGTTGCTTCCCTTTGGTAGGCGTACGACCAAGGTTTCCATGGTGCTGCCTGCGGTTCTCGCGCAGACCCAGGAGCTTTCGACTTGTCGGCAAAAGACGGCGTGTCAGCAGCACCAACAGCAACAGCATCAACAGGGCTCTTGCTGGCCCAGGAGCTTTCTACTTGTCGGCGAAAGAAACACGGCGTGCCACCACCACCACCACCACCACCACCACCAACAGCGCAAGGTGTGCAGACGTACAAAACAGATGGAGCCGGGAGTACACCCGGACGCGAAGCAACGAAAAAAAAAATAGGGTTCTCGTACTTTGTATTTGGCCTACAGTAGCTTCCGCGCTCTACGAACCACCTTCTGAGACAACAGCTCCTCCACGACGACAAAATACCAAGCGAGTAAACCCACCCCGGGGGAAGGACCGCCCTCGCGAGAGAAATTAAGTTTTATGAGGAAAATAGAACAGGGAGGGGGGACGCAGACCGTATTCCCTAACCCTAACCCTAACTCAACTTCCCCGATTACATGCCTTATCTAATATGTTTACTCAACTGGAAAAACACTGTCAAGGCTGTTGCTCGGGGATCGGATCGGCGGCACTCAAGTACCTGGTCCTCCGTGAGAGCGATGAGCGGGCTGATGACGACGCAAACACCGTCGGCGACGACCGCCGGCAGTTGATAGCACAGCGACTTCCCGCCCCCGGTCGGCATCACCACCAGGGCGTCGTGGCCGCTCGAGACTTCTCGCATTGCTTCCTGGAAGCACCAAAAAAAAAAAAAAATGTCATGAGGCGTGGTCCTTTTTGAGCCGGAAGGCTCGTCTCTACGGCGAGGAAGGGTACTCGTCAAGGTGATTCGGAGAACTGTCCGCCTGCCGAGGCCTCTGGTACGAGAGAGTTGATCCTGATTGGCTCGATCGTACCTGGCATGTACTCGCCGTCTACAAACAGAAAAAAAAAACATCTCTCGAGTTTAGTCATGTCATCGGAACGCAGCCCTCGAAACCTCTTGTTTCCCGCGGAAGCCTTGGTGCCCGAACACGTCGCGCAGCGCCCGCAGCAGCTTCTCCCGCCGGGCCTCCCACAACACGTCGGCGACGCCTCCCCGGTGCGCCATATCATCGGAAACAACGAAAAAAACAATGCGTCCCTTGTGCCTGCCAGCAATACGCCTGATGATGAACACGCCGAGGGGGGGAGAGGGGGGCACACCGGTGGGCAAGGAATGTAAGGTGTTTTCGTCGTTGGCTCAGGAGGGTTGGAGGAGGTTTGAATCTGTGCGTGGACGGTGTGTTGGGCTCTTCTTGCTCGCGAGGAAGCACGGAGAAGTGTACGGGCTGACCTATATAGCGAACCGTTTCGCCTCTCACGAGTGTGCGATATTCACAAAATTTTTATTTCTCGCCATCATGTCGGAAACACGAGTGACTGCCGAATGGTGCCGATAGCGGGGTGGCCATGGCTTCGGAGATTTGTCGACGCTGCCAACTGCTAGCTCAAGTATTTTGTATCTGTTGTGTGGGTGCTTCTTGCGCTAGCATCGACCGCGGGTAACCTGCTGACCAATGAAAAGACACCAATCTCACGGCGGGAGAAAAAACGCCAACACGCTTTCGCTACCGATAGTCGGGGCGCAGGAGGTGGACGACAGTAGTGTCCTGCTTTTGGTGTGTATGTGCCGAGCTCGCTCTGCTGCATGGATATGTGTGAGGCTTGCACACCAGTCCGAGCTAGACTTGCGGGAAGGAGCGTCCCCACGGATCTGTGCGATTCCGTTTCCAGAAACCAACGCGCCGTTTTTGGCGCGGGACTCTCAGTCTGGTTCGAAAAGAAAAAAAATGGCAGCCACCAGGCGTGGGTGTGGTGGTGGTGGTGGTGGCGGCGGCGGCTGCTGCTGCGTCCTTTGCCCGACTTCTATTTTTGAGTGGTAGATTTTACCTTCAGGAGAGGGTGTGCTATGTTGTGTCACCCTGTGATGTACCTGATATGAGGTGACCGTGACTCTATGGGTCGTTACTGAGCCGTAAATCAAGCCACAACCGCGTGTCGTGTCCTGTATGGAAGTTCGCACTATATCTTGGGTGTGATGCCCTATCGTGCATACAGGTACACAACACCGTCGGTCGCACAAGATATCACCCCGGAACAGATTCACAGCTCGATTGCTCCACGACGAAGAGAATGCTAACAAGAAATGAAAATGTTCTTGGAAAGCTCTATGAGACAGTTCCGATCGCGGCTAATATCTCACCGTCATTGCTTTGTTTGCTGCAGAGTAAGCGAGCTTTGGAAAAATCGTTCCAACGGGAGGTGATATCTTGTGCAAACCACGGGTTAATAATAACAACAGTAGCGTCTCCATGCTTGTCTGGCATATTCACAAGTATCGTCGTGGCAGCTGTTCTGGACAAAGAGCACAGAACGCTCGACTTTTCAATACTCCATGATAGAGAAGGTTGAAGGTACTGTTGAACCTGCAGCCCGCCTCTTGCCTGAATCAAAGAACATGTGATCACACCACAGGGGCAAAAAAAAAAAAACATTACATTAGTCACGCCGGCGAAAGCACGAAGACCTCTACGTTCCGGCTGCGCGGGTGCACACGAACACGGGAGTTGGTCACATGCATTCACCGTACCTTTCACGAGCTAGTTTTCCTCCACCGCGGCTGCTAATGGGTGAGAGGAGAGAGCACCAAACAAACCCACCGAACCAAACTCGAGCCGGAGCGGGGGCTCCGGTAAATCATTTCGGCCGCCGGGTACACAACAATATTTTTGAATTTGAGTTTCTACTTCGCCACCAACCAGACCAACGCAAAGCACCGAGAGAAGAGAGGCAGAGAGAGACGGAGAGAGACAGGGTAGTGCAGGAGAGGGGTTGATATTTGCAGGCAATAAAGACAATCGATCGCTCCATCTGTCGATTGAAACTCTCGCTTTCGTGTGAGTTGAACACGCGCAAGGGCGAGAGGGGGCGACGCGCACACACATGGATGCCACAACAACGACAATGGCCTTCGATGACGATCCGAAGCATGTCCAGCGGCAGCGACACCCGGCACCGTTGAGCAGGGCAACAGAAAACGGCGCCGCCGGTTCTCGATTGGCAGCAGGACTTATGTCCAGCGAGAGCAGCAAGAATGACCAGCAGCAAGGACAGCAGAAGACAGCAACGGGTGCTGGAAACGCGACCGGTAGGATCAGCGGCGGAAGCAGTACCAAGCGCCGGTTGCGACCCATGGAGCTCAAGCAGCAGCAGAGGATGCAGAAGGAGCAGCGCAAGCGCGCCAAGCTTTCGTCGTCGGTACCGTTGCCCTCGTCGTCGACAACAGCTCGTGATGGCGCTCAGAGTGCTGCGTGCAGATCCCCGAGCACTGCTGCTGGACGGAGCGGCGCCGATGCGCCAGGAGCGGCCTCCTTTCGCGACAGCAGAGGAGGAGGGGTAGCAAGTAGTGCAGGGGCAGGGGCGGCCTCCTTTCGCGACAGCAGAGGAGGAGGGGTAGCAAGTAGCGCAGGGGCAGGGGCAGGAGGAGAGCTCGGGGGGAAAGAGCCGCTGAAGAGGTCTGCATCCTCACCTCCCAGCATCACCTGTGCGAGAGGGTAAGTGATCTTTGGTGGCAAAAATGACGGCGATCTGTAGAGCCACGCGGAAATCTATTTACATGTACAGGCTTCCCGTCATGGAGAGATGACGGTGGAACGTGATCAGTTTGGATACGTCTGCCAACATATATATGTGAGGGCTGAATAGTCTGGTAGTAGCAGGAAGCGTTCGGCAGGGCAGTTCCCAACACGCTAAGTCTATGAGAGCAGCAGTGGGAGATTTGGTGGTGATGCTTGTGAATTTCTCTTCCCCGCCATTTCCGGGTAAGACAAGTGCGGCGTACCACTGTTTGCTTTTGCGAACGATAATAGTGTAGGCAATATCGTCTGGGCGCCGCGGCAAACGCTCGAATTCTTACTCTTCGTATTGTAGCCACACGGCATTGAACAAGGGTGCTTTTGTGATGTTTCTTTGTCCACGTGCGCCATTCTGGTAGAAAGCGTTGCGTGATGCAATCTGAACACAGGTAGACGCGCGCTGCTTCTCTCTTCAATTCCTCGAACCACATGGTGCATGCCCCCGCCCCCCGCACCCGCGCTTTCCCCTCGTAGGCCTGCCAACGAAGACGGTACGACGTGCTCGTCACGCCCCGACCGCCAACACGTAACGCCTCCGCAGAGGCACCCTCTCGGGCTAATCGATGGCATCATCGAAGAGTCCCGACACCCCCTCGCCCCGTCCCCCGCTAAGGAGAAGGACGGCGACTCCGCGGGAGCAGGCCTCCCGGGTCTGTGCAACTCCGCCGGAAGCGCGAGCGGAAACGGTGTCGTCGTCGCCAGTGGAAGCAACAGCAGCAGCAGCAGCAGCAGCAGCAGCGCGGCGGCGGCGGGGGTGGGGATCGGCCGTGCGGACGGCGCTGAGCGCCTTGTTGGCGACGGTGGCAACGAGGCAGGCGTGGCATCTTTTCACCTTCACGCGAATCCAGGAAGATCATCATTCGGTGCAAGCACCGGCGGCGGCGGCGGCGCTTCTTTGTTCGACATGGTCATGTCCGGCGCCTCTTCTTGCTCTCCGCAGTCCTCAATCGGCGGCGGAGGGAGCAACAGCGGGAGAAGCAGACTGTCAGTCGCCGCTGCAACCGGCGCTAGGGCCGAGGGGGGCAAGCCAGTCGCGTCCTCCCTGTCCGGAATGCTGGGCGGCATGCGGGGTAGGCAACCGGCGGCCAGCAGCAGGGACGAAGAGCGTTGCGGGGTGGCCGCTAGGGGAGCGGGTGTCGGCCAGACATCGACAGAGGACTGGATGGCGATAAACCTGGAGAAGCTGTCGAACTTTCGGGTGCCGGAGACACGCATGGGGTTTCCGGAGGGAGGGCGGGAGGTACGTACGCGTGAGGCTAGAGACGTGCGATTTTTGCTGTCTTGCGTCAACGAGGGGCGATGAGGAAATCGTGGAGGCGGGTGTACAAATGTGCGTGCGGGTATAGTCAAGAAATCTACGTTATTCTCCCGCAAGACCTTGTCCTCTTACTTCAACCTTGCCTGTGGAACCACCCCGCCGGTGCATATCTGACAGCTGACGGCGTGTAGTTCATATTTGTAGACATTAGTAGCCAAAAAGACACAACATGCTCATCTACGCGAGATCTGTTGCATGCTGACCTCTTTCACTCCACTCACGAGTGTACCCCACATCAACCAAGTACGTACGCATGACCCCAAGCGTGTATTCCTTTGCCCTCCCCGCCTATTCAACGCCCTTCCCCAGGGACACGAGTGTACCCCACATCAACCAAGTACGTACGCATGACCCCAAGCGTTTATTCCCTTGCCCTCCCCACCTATTCAACGCCCTTCCCCAGGGACTTCGCCGAAGCGCCACGGCGCCGTCGCGAAGCCCGTTCCCACCCCGAGCGGAGGAGAAGCAGGCCGAGACCCGACAGGCTGGGGCAGCGGCGGGGAGAGCCGGCGAGCCGCGCTGGGAGTTCGGCTGCTGGCACCCCTTAGGAAGAGGCCAACAGCAACAACAACAACGACAAGACGCACCCGTGTCCGACGGCACGAGGCTGACCGACGAGGCCCCTGACAACCCCCTTTCATCGTCGCCGCCGCCACCGCCTGACCTCCCCCTGCGCACCCGGGTAAGGTTTGAGATGGCGCCGGGCGTGGCGGTGCCCCGCGGGATCGGGAGTCTGCCGGGACACCTGGAGTCCCGCGCGCTCCGGGCGTTCGCCGCGGGGTCAGTGGGGATGCGAAACCGCTCCGAAGATGGAGGCGACCCCCGTCAAGGGCTTGGGCGTGGCGGCGGCAACGGGGGGGAAGGCGACAGCGAGAAGGAGCAGGGGTGGTCTTCGGGCGTCGCCGGCGGCGGCAGCGTTGGAGGAAGGCGTGCGCGGCTTGCGGAAACCCTTGGCGAGCGCGGGCGCGATAGACATGAAGCAGGGGCGAACGACGGGACGGCGGGGACAGCGGTAGCGATCGAGGCGGCGGCGGCGGCGGCGGCAGCGGCGGCAGCGGCGTCTGAGAGAAAGGAAGATGAGGCAATGGAGAAGTGGAGAAAGGCGACGCTGTACTGGGAGCACCCGGCGACGCCTCTGCCCCAGGAGGCCTTGGCAGCGCAGAAAGCGGCACAATCGAGGGTCGCCAAGAGCCCGGCGCACGCGACGAAGGCACAGGACAGCGGGGCCCGGCCTGGAGGCAGCGCCGCCAGCGGGTACGCACGTCTCAGTAAGGACCTCGCCGTCAGACGATGGATGGCACGAAGGACGTCTAGCCGTGTTTTTTTTTGTGGAATGTTTTTTGTGCTCCGAAGTTGGCACGAGAGGTACCAAGAAGAAGTGTACGTACTTAATTGTGCCAAGCGGCGGCGTGGGGAACTTTCGTTATTGTTTGTTTGGCGAATCTTGTGTGCCGACGAGATTGACCGGCCGGGGACAAGCGTGCGCCGCCGCGAGTGGCAGGTGCCGTTGTTGGTACGTTTTGTGAGATGTCGAGTGGAGCAGTGGGGCGAGATGACCCCACAACCAGGCCCTCCCTCCCGTACCCACCTCACGCTATTTCCCGCTTTTACCAATCCTGGACAACGACCCCCGCCGAAATCGTGTGTGCTTGTAGGTTCCTAGCGTAGGTACGTTTCGACAGGCGTTCCGTCTCCAAAGGGACGATTCGTGGGCAATCATCGAAGGGTGGCTTTAGGCAAGCAAACCTGTGAGCACACGCCCCAACCGCGCACGACCCTGTTGTCAATACTGCTATTTTTTCCATCTAGGTGGACTTCTTTCTTTTGGTCGCGTCGAAGAGACTGGGAGCAGGCGTTCGGCAGCCTCTACTACGGCCTCATCTCGAGGAACCGCGGCGGCGGGGAAGGGGCAAGAGGAGGACGAGGGGGCGCCGCCGCCGCCGCCGCTGCCGCCGAGGGGGAGGGGGAGGGAGAAGGGTTCTATCTGCAGTGCCCCCTGTACACGGTAGTGTGGACGCTCGTGCGGGAGCGAGGAGGGGCTGAAGACGACGGGACCCGGTGAGCGCGTACGAATGTTGTCGTGAAGTTCGTGCGGTATGTCTCTTCGTGTCACGCGCTGCTGCGTCGTGTGAAGTTTGGCGTGTGTACAGAACGCGTCACCACCCGAGACTTACTCTTTACGTTATTTAAGAACTTAGAGCGTCAATAACAAAAGTCGAAGAATTTGGTGGCCAGGACAACAGGTGCTCAGCCAAGAAGCGTACACTACAATCTCTTTTGTCTCGCTAAAACCTGTACAATCGCCTATGGGGTACCCAGTGGACCAAAAAAAGAAACGACCCTCGGCCAAAATAAGACGCTCTAGTTTGAAGCCTCGGCGCGTTCCATGTTGAATGAAGCCTGCCACCGCGCGTGCGAAAGTTTCTGGTTTGGGTATCGCACGGATCAGAGACAAACTGCACGAAACCCCCCCCTACGCCGCCGCCCCTTCGAGTCTCGTTACCTCCTAGAGCCAACGAAGGCAAAGGCGTGGAGGGCTTTTTTTTCCCCGGGTACCGCCTGCTGACAACAGAAGTTCGAAAGCGCCTTGCCTCACGTGCACAACGCGGAAGCCGCTGCTCGCCCTTGTCGGGGAAGCCGGGGATAACCCGCTCCTTCTTTCAATGTTGTGTCAAAAGGGCATTTAATTCTACAAAAAAAAGTGTTGATCCAAAATGGTTTTTTATAATTTCGTTTGTAAAGGTGAAGGTAAATCATCATCTTTTATGGTGTCATGTCTTAAAAAATTACTCAAATATGTTGCATGTCTGGCAGCCTTCTAAAGAGAACGCGACTAAACATAGACATTGGTTTCGCCTCTCACGACCAAGATTCAACAATTGGTTTGATTTAGTTTTTTTTTTTTCGTCTTGTGGCGGGCGCGCAGGCGTCGCAGACTAGTCCCAGCGGCTCTCATGACCCGCTCCACGCGGCGTCTAAGGAAGCGGCTCACGGCGGCAGGGATCGAGTTCGGCATGCCTCTCGACCCCGCGGGCGACCAGCGAGACGCGCAGGCGAGTCACGTGATAGGCGGTGGCCGCCTGGGTTCTTCTCTGTTCTCGTTGCGGTCGCCGCTGTTGTTGTTGTTGTTGTCGTTGTGTTGTTTTTGGTGGTGGTGGTGGTGGTGGTGATGCTGGTGTTAATGGATGTCGCTGTCATCTTCGTTTTTGGTTTTTGCGATCAGAAGGTTTTGGTTGAGGGTAGAGAGACGACTCGCTCGACTCCCCCCTTTCGTGTGCGGCAGGGAGAACTTGTCGCGTTCATCAGCACGTGGTCGTCACTGCGTCTTCCAGCCCTGCCCTCCCGCCCGGTTCAACCCATTTTCCCCGTCACCGCTTAAGTGTTGACCTCTAAATTTTCCTTGGACGGTTTGATTCAATTCACTCCACCAAAGTCCTGTTTTGCGTAAGATTGGTGGTGTAACCAACGTTGTTTTCCCCATTCCAGGTACCGTAAGGTTGCGAGGCAGCGCACAGGGGTGCGGTTGATTTTCAAATCGCAATTTCTCCACAACCAGGAGGGTGCGAGCGCCAACTGATACTTGTCAGGAAAGCTCTCGATGAGATATTTCCAAAACCGCCCTTTTCGACAGTGGTACCCTCCTGATGATGGAGAAATTACGCTTTGAAAATCGCTCACACCCCTGTGCGATGACTCGCAACCTTACGGTATCTACATATTTCGTTCCGACCTTTCGTGATTTGCGGCATGCCCTTTTTGGTGTTGATACGAACGACGCATGCCCCACTTCAACCTTCGTGGTGTGGCATGATTCTAAACCTTTTTTTCGCCATCTCTGTGCCTCGGCCGGCATCAATAGCATTGTACCCACACTTTAAGTTTTCTCGTGTTTTTGTTGCCGTACTGCCCGTGAGGAGGAACGGCGCTCGCACGCCGCAACAGAATGCTATTTTGCCGACGCGCCTCTCTTGTTTGATGTTAGTGTCGTTTTTGTTTCCTGTGCCTTGCCAACCCTGCCCCTGTTTGTTCCACGAATGTCCAATACATGCCCTCTTCTTGCCACAACTCAGCGCCCTACACCTCCCCATCCCGGGCTTTGCCTTCTGATATGCCCAGTTTTGGTTTTGTACGTTTGCGTTTTGCCTGTGCCATAAGTGTATCCACCCGTCCACCTGTCCGTGGTCTTTCCACTTTCACGTTGTTGTTGTTGTTGTTGTCTTCACTTTCAGAAGCTTTCCGATCTCTCTCTACGCCGTACCTTCATCTGTCCGTACTGATCAAACACTTGACCAGTCGATTCCCGTGGCTACAGGCTAGCTTATACGAGAGGGTCAGTTGGCAACCGAAGGTAGATGCCCGAAGCTTCGACAACGCGATCTCACTCACTCGAACCTTCCCATCCATCCGCCAACACGTTCTGCGACGTTCTCCCGGCGTTTAGGCGGACGAAGACGTTCTGGAAGAGTGGAAGGCGATGGACGCAACGGGCAACGCTAAACCTGGCGCCGTCTACGCGAACGAGGAGGACCGGTGAGGATTTGAGGGCGTTGGAGTGATCAATTGATCGGGAGGTCTAAAGGTCGCTGTGGAGAAGTTCGTGTCTTGTTCCTCGAGGAGTCCGGTCAGCATATGTTGGGCGTGTTCTTGGAGCGGTTTGGTTGAATTTGATTTTAGCTGGAATGTGAAAGGGGTATAGTAGTTTTTGCTCCCCTCAAGACAGCATGCAGTAAAGGCGTTGATGAAGGTGTCCAACGCTTCTGCTTTTGAACTGTTCTGCGTCCTGTAGTTTTCCCGTTGTCTCTTCTTTTTTTTTAGTCGCCCGGGGAAGTGTTTCTCTGGCCTGATCTTTCCCAAGTCATCCTCTCCAACAAACAAGTGCCAAAGCATGACGCGAACGAGGCCAACAAGAGCGGCCTTGCAGCTGGGCTGCTCAGCCGCATGCAGTCATTCAGCTCTAGACTTCAAGGGCTGCAAAGAAGGGATGGTAAGGTACACGGGAGGGTGGGATAGTGAGCACTTCATCCAATCATCACAGGTAGAAACAGGGGGGGGGGGGTCCACCACTCGCCCTTGCGTGCCCCCCACGTTTCTCTAAAAGGGGTGAGTGCAGTGTAAGGAGTTTAGATTGCGCCGCGTTTTTTTGTTGGTTGCCGGGTACACGAAACCCAATTTTAGCAACGCCTGCCAGTTTTCCATAAAATTACTGGAGATTGCAACAAAGGATACCCTTGCGCGGAAAGAGACCGGGCACCTCGCCACAGCAGAGCAGAGTGAACCCCGGAAGAGACGTGACAGCTGCTACTTACTGGTGATACCAAAGCATGTCATCCACTTGGGGGGTCGCGATTCGACCCTCCCCAGTAGAGATCGGTGTCGCCAAATATGATATGGAAAGTGAAGCACGTGAGATTCTACGTAGAACGCAGAAGCTCAAACTATCCCGCCGCCACGTGACGCCGCAACAGGCCCACACTCTCTGTGCCAGATGAAACCCGCGATGGGCAAATCTCTGAATTTGTCCACCCACAGACCTCGAACCAGAGGTCTGACGGGTGATATAGAAAGCCCACAACCTTGGCTCCTTGTATCACCAGCAGTTCTCAGTCAAAAAGGGAATTCCCCAGTACGGCCACGCCGTCGAGTGCACAGGGGTTGGACTGGTTGGAGCTCTGAGCAGGTCGGCCGTCTGGGCGCTGTAACACACCCGCACCGACAAACGGCGAGAGTGAAACCACCTCTAACACCACTGAGGAACACCACTGAGGTGTATGTACAGGCACGCGTCGTGCGTTTTCGATGGCGTTGTTGGACTGTTGTGTGGGCTACAGAGACGCGTTGTGAAGGTTTGCGCTGACCGGTGGTTGGGGGGGGGGGGGGGGTTGCGTAGGAGGTATTCCGCCTTAGAGGGACGCCTGATTCTCTCTTTTCGCATCATGCTAACTCAATAAAACTACACTTTTGGACCAAAGAAGTCGCACACGGCCAGCATGCACACGTTCTTCACACCAAACGATAGCTGAGCACCACAGCTACTCGTCCCTGCTTTCACTACTCCAAACGGTGGCCTACAGCGTTCGCGAGATCGATACCCTGTGCAAAAATTAAAAGGCGATGCAATCTAAACTCCTAACACTGAGTGTGCCAAACGCATGCTTTGTTGAAACTTGCAGACATCACCTGCAGCGTTCGTTGCCCAGTCAACGCTGGAACCGCTGCTACCGACAGAGTGGTTCTTCCAGGGATTGGGCAAACATCGACGGCCCGTGCCATGGTCTGAACGCGACCGCAACCATTAGTTGCTACCCGCCCCCAGCCACCTCGCCCTCGCACCCTCCATGCGACTGTCCGACTACCTCACGCAATGCCTATAACTGTCTCTGGGAAGTGAAAGCACCAGAAAGTAAATAAAGTCATACGCAGCTGTCATCCGTATGCAAGGAAGTAAGCACAAGGTGCCGAACACCCTTAACAGGATGCAGCACACCCTTCATGCGACTCGCCGAATACCTCACGGCGCTTCGCGCTTGGTGATGTGAGAGCCTGGTCCGGTGAGACCCCGACGTGCCCCGTCCCGGCTTTGCAGGGATGACAGGTCAATGGTCTAACGACCACGGCATGCACGACTGTGAGTACCCCCCCCCACCTTGCCCTCACATGTACATAACCGTTGTTTTCACGCCCCCCCTCCCCCAGGAGCCGACCCCAGCTGTCTTTGCTGACGTTCCGGGGGCACATGGCCGTCCACGGCCTCTTCGATTTCCTTCTAGAAGCTTGCGGCCATTCCACGGGCGTCGTCGGGGGTGGGGGGCTCGCCGCGAGCGGGCGGGGCGGCAGGATGGGATTGGGGGGGGATGTCCCGCTTTTGCTCTCGCGGGAGCCGTTCCTCAACGCCTCGCTGAAGGCCCTCAAGGTGTGTACTGCTGTACTTTCCAACGTACCGGTGTTTTTTTCTTGTTGCATACGTTGGGTTGGTATTTTTTTGCCGTGAGAATGGCTTTTTGGATGCGTCGCTCCCGCGATGTATGTACAATCACAGAAAAGCTACTCAACCCGTTCGAGATACAGCTACTGCAGTCAAAGGGGGATGTGCTGTTGTTTCTTTGGTGCAAGGCACTGCTTCGTCCTTTGTTTTTACTGTGGAAGGCATGGCGCTCTGGTTGAGCTGAAGCAACAAGCTTCTCGTAGGGGGTATCTTCTGCGGTGCTGCTGCTGCTGCGTGCGCCGTGCTTCCTTAGGGAAAAAAACACACACATACACACACACGATGCCGTCGTACAGCAGTGGTGGTCCCGATATCCCGTACCGCGGTCCCGAATACCACGGTTCCCAATATCTCGCGGTAGAAAGTCCTTGGCACAAGAACCGAGTCCACGACTATTTTACTTGGGAGGCCTTCTCCCCAATTGTGTGAGGCCCGATAAAACGCGGTGATTTTTGCCTGTCGTCACACCGCGGTGTATGGGGGCCACCGCCATACAGTACATTTCTCCCTTCGGGGAAGCGTGTCGACGAACGAAATTACCAAATCCATGATCTAGCCGGTCACCCCGGTGGTCTAGGTGGTATCCTCGAAACCTTCTAGAGGTCAGGTCAGGGCTTCAAATCCCGGCGTAGGCGAGCTTTTCTTGCAAAGTGAGATTTTCTCTCGCTTCCACTCCTGGCCTAGTGGATAGCGCTAGTTCGTGCGTACAGAGAGGGAAGAGAGAGCTGAACTCTTCTCGCATTAAAAATCGAAGGCAACGTACCGCAGGAGGGGAGGGTAGAGAGGGGCCCTTCTGTGTGACCACGGGTTGGAATAAACGGCACTAGTGCTGTGAGCGCTGATTTGAAGTGAAAAAAAAAAAAAAGTTCATGTGCTCTCTCGCTGAAACCGATTACGAGTTTTATCTTCCCGAAACTTTCTCTCGAGGCTAAATGTTCCCACACGCAGCCCTATGCACCTGTAGCACAAGGCAAACACCCACCGAGCGGTGATGCGGAATGACACACGAACGTTGTCCGTTGCCCCCCGTTGCCCAGGTTCAGCAGAAAGGGCCCATGCACCGATCCAGGGCCACAGTGAGCGCGGGACAAGACTCGGCAGTCCAGGTGGGAGGGGGGAGGGTCAGTACGCTCATCGTTTTGGGTTGGAACGACATGTTGTGAGTCTTTGCGGTTCGAAACTTGTAAGTGCTAGAAAACAAGACTCGGTTGTGGTACGGACGGAAATGCTTGAGATTCCTGCGCCCCGCCCCCCCGAAAAAACAATGCGCCAAGATTGCAAGTTTCCACGATCAGTGCCGACACGACACGGGTGCAGAGGTTTCGCCGGAGTAATGGGTGTCTGACGTGCGGGAAGGAGGCGGCGCAGCAGCGCAACGTTGAAAGTCGGGAACGAAACTCCTCCCTCAGTGTTTTTTTAGTGCACTCTCGTGTTGCAGAGAAAAAAATTGGGTTCGTGGCTTGTTGGAGGGGCGGTGCCACTTTGCCCTTGTAGGCGGGGGGCCTCTCAGTAACAGCTCCTTTGACGCTCGTTTCGACGGCACGCGCCATTTTCCCCTCGTTCGAGTTCTCTGCTATGTATTCAGGGTGTTCGTCCTCAATTCTACTTGTAGTATATACTTGAAGCATATATGTTTGTCTGTATTTGAATCGTGTTTCTTTCTCGCCCACACAGGGCGACATGCGTAACCCCGGGGGCGAAGGGGGGAAAGATCCCTGTGTGGGTGGAAATCCCTCTCGCCAGCGAGCAGCAGGACATACATACAGTGTACCCGTTTATCGTTGCTCCGTGGTTCAATTGGTTGGTGAACGCTCGAACACCCTCCGAGCGAGAGCGCGCGCGCGGGGGGGGGGGGGGGGGGGGCGTGGACCCCGGCCAACGGGGTTTTTTTTTAAACCTTTCCCGGGGGGGAACCCCCCCCTTCCCGGCGGCCCAGGGGCTTAACTTTTTGGGGACCGGGTGGCCTTCGGCCCCCCCCAACTTTGCCCGGGGAAGGGGTCCCCCCGCCCCGGCCGGGGGGAACCGGGGGGAAACCACCACCACCACCAACGCCAATAACACCGGGATTGAGGGGGGGGGCCCCCCCGGGGCCAACCCCCTTCCGCCACCCCACCTGGAACCCCCGGGGGGGGAAACCAACCCG